TTTATCTTATGAAATGATCTTTCTTGAATATACAACGGTTTTGTATTCATCTACATCGGCAAACCAATACTTTACTAAAAACGCCTTAAGAATTCATTGCAAATAATCGCTGAGATGAATTGAAATCGAGATCACAAATGTGTGCAGAATATAACATTTGGCGTTAGATTATGATTGATAAGGTTTTCGGAGGAACTGTTTCTGTTATGACTTAAAGTGTCGTTTGATTCATCATTTATTTTGTATCCGTCCATCATTTGCATTTCTATAACTTCCGCCTTTGTTTGGTCACGTGGTGCTCTTTTCCTCCTCCACTGAACTTGCACCCCCACCAGTATAGTAAGTAACAACAAGAGTATAATGACAACTGTGACAACCATTCCTGTATACAAGGTGTACAATTCGTTTTTTGACATAGGAGCCCGGGGGGTCCAGGACGACTGCACCACTTCCTTTCTTCCAGTTAAAACTTCGTCAGATATCGAAACGTTTTTAGCGTAATGATTGGTAAAATTTTCCGGATTCGAACTGTTTCGTATTTCAGATTTAGTTTGCTGGTGTAACGGAGTGGTGTTTTTCTCTGTGGAAGGATGGTCAGTAACGGCATTCATTGAGCTCTCGGTTAAAGTTTTACCAAAAGTGGCGTTGTAAATGGGTTGTTTGGTCACCTGACGAATGGGAGATTTTGCTGTTTCCTGTCTTCCCACGTCTGCTGTTGTACTGATTGTCACGTGATCTGTTACTGACGTCACTTCCGTTGGAAACTCAATATCTAAGAAAATAAAACAGAAAGTTGTACAAAAAAGTTATAACCAACTATTTAAACTGTAACAAAACGAGTTTAATGTTCATGCCATATGTATGTATATATATCACTATGCCGTCACAGGTTTCAAAAACCATTAATAGTTCATACTTTGTCAATGTAAACACAATCTTTTTTCTCTAACAAGAGAATGAGTTTTAGTTAGTGATAGTTTTCATGCATTCGTATTTATTTACGTCACGTTTCCTTTCAAATATTTATTTTTAAATGTTTCCCACTTAGATTTGTTGTACATTTTTGGCATTTCGTTTTTTCTCTTCTTTAAATAAAGTTAAATGGCAACATCTATGAGGTAGATATATGACAATGATTCAAATCTTTTGAAGAATAATCAATTTTCATTCCTTGCACTTCAAAATATAAATGTTGTGGCAAATACATGAAAAATGTTCAATTCTCGGTACTGTTTCAATTTGCGATTCCGTGACGTTAGAATAAAACAAATAAAACACACTGACTTCGTTTCGAAAACTTCTTAATAGCAATATAAAGGATACATTGACACACTTGTATTTGTAGTACAATACTGATATAACAAATACAAAGCCTTAATACCATAACCTTTGCTGTGTTACGTCCGTATAATTACTGAACTTGTTTATCCAATGCGTGGAAGACAGCAAGCAAAAAATAAGTCTGATACCGCGTAGTATTTATGTGAGTTTCGCCTGTTTCACTGTTGTTATCGCCTTGCGGGAAATAGACTTTGTTTTGCTGGACCTCGGCGTTGATTACGTTCAGATACATGTACGACAACATTTAATTTTTGTAATTAAAAGAATAGTTTACGTTTTAACAGAGTGTAATTTACAGGATGTGTATTGATTTGGATAAATGTTTTTTTGCTCCGTAAATTCTTTGGTACCGGGGAAGCAATTTTCAATGTACTTTTCTCACTTTCGCGAGAATAGGACAAGATGAACAGTCCTGCATCTTGGTTTGTAACTTACTGTGTGTAGTTCCTTCTTATGATATGTAGTTGAAAACTGAAACTTGACTTTCATAAAATCAAGTTGTTTTACAATTGAATATATACTAAGACTTTATTTCCCCGCTGTTTCTCCTCTTGTCTCTATGGATACTGCTTCATGTTTTCGGACCCTTACAGTATAAAAGAAACACATATGAGAAGGGAGAGAACTCTGTCATGTTTCTGATTTTAATTCCCAAACTCTTGTTTTAGTCTTTAAAGCGCTACTACGCTTGGTCGGCTGCGGCACCTGAGATTACCATCTTTGCATTCATTGTGACTTTTATCCTGAAAAAAATTATTCGCTCCATTTCATATGGAAAATAAAGGAATAAATATATTTTAAAAAAAAACAAGTTCGGAAAAGTTGTGTATGCAACGATATGATTATCATACATAACATATTCAAAAATATATTAGGCATAAAACAGAAGATATCATTACCTCCCTTTGAACAGTTGTAGAGCGACACGTCATCAATAGCTACGTCATGTGCCCAGTTAGTTGTCCTGGTAGCCTGTATTACAATCTCCAGAAACAAAGCAAACATAAAACTTAAAAATATATTTATGAAAAAAAATAAACAAAAACAAAAAAGGAAATATCAAAGAATTCTTGCAAAATATATGAGAATAACGAGACCAGATTCTCAGAAAAGGAAAATGTCATCAATGATGTAAATCTATGTCAAGTTTGATATAGTACATACTTAATTCTTTTATACATAACGGTGGGCAAATACAGGTATCACCTAAACAGATGTACAAATGCGTGTGATTTTCTTTCTTCAAATAGTCAAATTCTAACCATCTTGCGATTAAAAAACAAAGTAGACATACATACGTGATTTAGTTGTGTTATTTTAAACTTAACGAAAACCTACAATCATTACTTGTTAACACGAAACAATTTAAATTGTTTTTTTTTTTTTGTTTTTTTTTTTTTTTTTTTTTTTTTTTTTTTTTTTTAAATATCAACTATATTTCATATATAAATAAAATACAGTCAGGGGGAATAACTCGCATTGACAGTACCTGCATTAATTCATAATCCTCTCGTAACACGACAAGTCCTCGTACCCATTGATCGCCATGACTACCCGTTGTATTGAACATAAGATTCTCAACCGACCGCTGATCTCTTACATACACAAACAAGGAACTGAAATCTGGAAAATCGATGAGAGATAATAAAATTTCCCTCTGACTGAAATATTGATTTTTGTAGGGTTTTTCCCCCCTAGGACATTACATCATACACTTTAAATCAAAACTCAATCAATTTATACAATACACACCAATCAAATTTCTCTATCCTTACGGCGTCTAAATGCATACCTTCATGAGAATCATCCCCGAGCATATGATAGAAAAACCGGAAACACGTTCCTTCCGGAACGTCTCGGTACCAGGGGGAAAGGAGTCTGGCAACTTCATTACGTCCAAAGGGTCCCGAACTTTCCATATATACATAGTAACCTACAAAATAATGATGTTTTTATAAAGAATTATTGAACAAAAATGAAAGGGAACAAAGAGAATGAATGAGAGAGGGGAGGAGGGGTGTGTGAGGTGTATGTGGGGGTGTGTGAGGGAGGATTCGAGTAGAATGAAAGAAAAAAAGACGAACCAAATGAAGAAACAAAGAAGAACTGGAAACAGAATTTACATTTACAGCAGTGTGAACATCGTCAAGAAAATGAAAAAAAAAAGGAAATCAAACTCATTCAGATAAAGGGTTGGTCAAAATAATCATATTCGTGTATATAGAGTCAGGGGTACCATTTCCAAACTTATCGCGCTTTGTGTGCAAAACACTTTATCATAATTGCCTTGGATTGAATGCGACGGGCCTCTCGTATGCTGTTCAGTTAAGTAGCCACCAGCTAAAACAAAGAGACCGCGCCCGCAGCAGAAACAAAATGGAAAAAATAGTGTACCCGATGTCCCGTCTGGCGAATGACCAGTGCTGGGCCCGGTCAGGTTCGTAGGTGTTGTACCGTTGGTCCGAATCCAGGACAGAGAACTATTGACATCGTTTGTCCAGCCACACAAATCACGGTTTTCAAATCCACACGACCGGTCAGCTTCCCCGACTTTAAAAAAGTGAGAACTTAATTATTCACTACTGGAGCGTTAATTGATAACTTCAATATCGTATTATGCCCTAATTGATTATCTCAGTGTTTTTTAGCTTTAAGTTTAGTTTTGAGTTTTAACTTTAGTGTTGCTTATCATGTACCACTGACAGTTTGTTTTTCAATTTTAATGTAAAAATACTGTATCGCTTTAAAAAGTAGCTTGGAGAAAATCATTTTTAAACCATATTTTCAGCAATTCTAGGTTTCAAAAATATTTCATAATAAAAATGCTACATTTTAAGATTCAGTGTTGTTAAAGACAGATGAAAATTAAATACTTTATCGTTAGTTAGGGTTTTCCACCAAAAGGTGTACAGAGGCCAAAACAGTTGAAAAGCCCGTCAAAATTTCTAGTTAATTTTGATAGAGAGTTGGCCATGCAACCTCTGGTGAAGATCCGAGGTACGTGCTTCGACTCTCTTGTGGCGGGTTGTGTTTCTCAGGTACCCCGGTCTTTGCTGTCATGATCGTGTCCTTTGACAAGGAAACTTAACCCTTATAGCTGTGGATGACGTGCGACGAGACTCCCGTATGCTGTTCAGTGAGGTATCTTACTGCTAATGTGTAATGTTCTGCTTTTTCAATTTTGTGAACTCACTCACTTTGAATTCTGAAGTCGATGTCAGCAACTAAATTATGTTTGTGAAATGTCAAAACAATTTACGAAAGTATTACGATAAATACTCACTAATACACGTGGGTACCTGTCCACTCCATTTCTCGCCGTCACAGGTGAGTTGACTCTGTCCCATTAGTGACATGCCCGGGGGACAAGAGAACACGAGTAGCGCCCCCTGGTATCGACGATTTATGGAAGGGTAGGGTTCGCTTTTGGATATATTTGGACATCGATTGGCTGGTAAAAAGTCATACGAAAATATTCTGAACACAATGTGATGTACATTTCATTATCAATTTCGTCATGATATGGTGTACATTTCATTATCAATTTCATCACGATGTGATTAACATTTCATTAACAATTTCATCACGATGTGGTGTACATTTCATTATCAATTTCATCACGATGTGGTGTACATTTCATTATCAATTTCATTACGATGTGGTGTACATTTCGGTTTGATTTTCGTTTACAAAAAGAAGAATATCATTTAGTATTATACATAATAACTATAAACATGAATGTATCGTTGAAATTCCCGATGTTAGAAAAAGACTAGAAGAAATTGCGTTTACATGGTGACGTATGAAATCAGATTATCTCTATCACAGACGTATATAACATATATATATACGTCTCTGTCTCTATATAGTCGAACCCGAACGTTATTTTCCTCGCAGTTGAAACAAATAAAACTTAAATTGTTATTAATTAAGAGGATCTCGTTTAAAATCAAGACATTGTGATCGAAAAAAAATCCACATGGAATACATAGTCTATGATGTTATTATGAAACTGGGAGAGTACGAAACGAAACGCATATTCACCTATACATAACGGTTGACTTCCGGTCCAAGCGCCGCCCACGCAAATGGCTCGTTTAGAACCATACAGGATGAAGGGGATGTCACAGTAGAATCGAGCATACCTTCTAGTGTACTTAATGTGCATGCCTGTTGTTAGCAGAAATGATTGACATTTGCCTTCCGTAACTGAAAAAAGAATTATTTATCAAAAAAAATCTTTACTTATTTTCTGTAGGTAAATTAATATGCGGAGATACTTGAGAGCTAGATGAACGACTGGAGGTCAGCGGGTGAAAGATCAGAAACTATTTCTTTTGTCAAATGACTATGTTATTTGATGACAAGTAGTCAAGACATGAAAGAAATAATCTAATTTAGTCACTCCATAAAACGCACGTGTGTCAAACAAGAGGGACATGTATTCCTATCTCTTTGTTTTTGAATGGTGTAGTAACAAAACGGATTTATGCTTTTACACAAAAGAATTCGTGATTGTATAGATATTTGGCGGTTCCTTAACTATAGTGAAATATGGTGGCAACCAGTTATCCATGTCCCGAAACAATCGTATGACATTAGAATGTATCAGAGTTACTTCCCTTCGGTCTACGGTAGAAAGTTTGAGGAAAGTGCATTTTACAATTAAAATCGAATGAATAAATCAAAGATGAAATTTAAATTGTATGTGATTGAGAATTGGATCATCATACCCAAATATACATGATTATTGTCATGATATTGGCGATAATGTGAGGATATATGAATTTCGCGCACCATGCATGAACAACTCGTGAACAGGTCTGTGCGTAATAAGCTTTGAACCAGCAAGCAGTTTTATGCATTTAAAGTTGAAAACTCATCGATAATCAGGCATTTACAGAAATCACCATAAGGTATGTTATCGGTATAATAACATAAATGATTGAAACTATTTTCGTTTTCAGTGCTCAGTACAGACGCCGACGTTTTACATTAATGTCCTCATAAATACTAGCAACGTCTACCAATTCACTCATACTAATAACAAGGTTTGGAACTCAGTCAGTCTGGCGAAACGATTCAACTTCGGCAAACTCATTATGGTCGATAAACCGTTTGAGATATCTAGCTAGGAGTGGTTTGAATCGACAGATATTTTTTCCCCTTTAATGTAGTAGATGATTCACCATATATCATGTCAGATTACAGTGTAGTTGGACAGTCATCTGACAGCGTACCCTATCAGCTGTATATATATTGTGTGAATCCTAGATTATAAAACACCCCCAGTGTAAAATCTAGTTGTGATACAAACCTTCATTTTAAATAACACTTGTTAAACACTTGTCACTCACACAAAGTTACGCAATGCCATTTATACATCCGGGTATGACACATATTACATACACAATATGTAGTTTGTTAAACGTTATAATAGAAAATTTTATTTGAATATCTCCAGTGGTAGTGGTTCTAATCAATTTTTTGTTTTTTGTTTTTGTTTTTGTTTTTGTTACAAGTTCCTGTACCTGCTTTTAAGTGTATTACATTATAGTAAGATTTTACATGGTGTCCACCATAACAAGCCTTATATCAACATCTGATTACCTTATTTTTCAAACAAAGCAATTAATAATCAAATTACCAGAATCAGTATGGAGTGCCAATTGAGTGTCATTGACAACGCGAACAGCAACAACTACTAGAGCGAATGATTAAACTGACGTTTTCCACTACTTTTTGCAAATATATGTATCATAAAACATGTCTCGATGTCCTAAATGTTTCTTCATATTTGAACAACTTTTATATAAAATAACATGTAGTGCAAAACCGTACACTCTTGCGCAACTTTACGGATAAATAGAAACTTTAAGGTTGGTCGGTCTCATCTGGAGATTTTGAAGGTCCTGAATGGAAATAAGTATTTCAAAGTGGCTTTAGGAATAATTGGAATGTACAGCACTTTTATACGTTTTACTTACAGCTGAAATGGAAACGGGGGCGTTTCTGGATAAAGACACACGAAACCTGTTGGTAGCATTGAGAATAATTGAAATTTATTCCACAGTGCGTTTAATGATTATCGAGATTTAACATTGAAAAGTACACTTCGGATCTGAGTGAAACTTAATCGTACCTTTAGTCACGTCTGCTGTGGTAACATTTCCGGTTTGACCTCTATAATAGAAAGCTAACCCATCGTTCATCGATCTGACTCCTCCGGTATCTGTAAAATACATCAATATAATTCTATACCACGTAGTCCTAGACCATTCAATTCTTAATAGGTCGCGATTTTCGCACTTTAAAATTGTGTGTCATTTTATCAAAATGTTGGATGCAGTCTGTAAGTATTAAAAGTGGAGTGTGTGACTAAATTCCACAGCAATAAGTTGACACCATCCCAATTCAGCGATAAAGGTAACAGTTCCGATCTGTTTCTTGGCTTATCTATATATTTTTATTATCTGTTTATTTTTTTTAAAACAAAACACCGTGTATATGTAGATAACTTTTCTCAGTATATGAACGAGTAACTCGGGAAAAGACTGCATCAGAATTATAGTGGGCAGCCGGACGGAAGTGCATTAACGACTACAACAGAATGACGGAGGTCACATAATAGAACAGATTTGGGAAGAAACTTTTCAGCTACAGCCTATTAAGGCCATTGTGAAAATTTTGCTTTATCCAATATCACAACACAACGTTAGAAATAATGAAATATATTCCATTCCTTATTTCGATTGTCCAATTCTTATGAATCTTTCATTTCATCTTCTGTCAAATTATGGAATGATTTAACAATCAATGCCAAAAAGTAGTCATCAATTAACTGTTTTAAAATCTAAAATCCAAATATAATCCTGATTGCGCTGGAAAGAGAAAATTAAATGTTTTACATACAAGGTTGCGAAATGCTTCCAGCAGCTTGAGATATAATTTGTTCAGAGTATATATTATTAATGATCCAGCGTGTAAATGTGGTTATGAATGTGAAAATTGTGTGCATTATTTTCTTATTGTATGTTAAATATGAGACAGTGTGAAATTTTATATCATAACATTTTTCGTTCGTGTAACGTCACAAATAATGTGCTTCTCTGTGGTTCTCAAAACCTGTCCGATGTGCAAAATGCTTATATTTTTTTCCAGTCCATTCATACTTTTATTGAAATCAGTAATCGGTTTTCAGTTCATCTGTAAATATCTTCACTTCAGGAGTACACGTCTCTCTCCTTCTCTTCCTAGTGGTTTCCTGACTTTCTGTTTTCATTTCTTCCTTTCTAAGATGTATACATGTAGCAAATCAAATTTGATGAAAGTGTACACAGTTGTAGGTATGTTATATCTATGTGAAATGTATTTTTTGTGAGAAAGTTTCTTAGTTGTGATAACCTATGCATAATCCCATTTGTTATATTGAACAAATGAAATATGCTTAAGGCATTTCATTCAAAATCCCAATACTTACAACCTTTAAACCTTTACTTATAAAACCATTGTAAAAACGAAAGTTATTTCATGTCAATTAAATTTACCTGGAGTTTTCATTTAAAACTGCATGTTATCGGATCCTTGTTACTGAGGGAATATGTTTTAACTTATGTATAATATTTTTATCAAAAATGGAAAATGGCATATTATAAAATTATCTAGAGAATTCGACAGTTCGCTAGCCACCAATAGGCTAATTAGTTGTAGGTGAAAACAGGTGAAAATCATACTCTACACGTCATTATTTCGGTATTGGACCGGTCGATTTTGATGCGGTTTTCAATTTTTTTGAATTTGCATCATAAATAATGATAATATATTAATTTATATTTTCATTCGGGGTACACCTTTAAAAAGAATGTAAAATACATATTCAAATTCTGCACTGGATCGAACACGTGCTTCTAAGGTCACATTGAAGTTTGACATTTTCATATTGTAAAACTTTACAGAGTTTGATATAAGTTAGAAAATGTGTGCTCTATCCCTTATGTATATATGCTTGATACAAATAAAATGTGTTTCAGTCAAATGTAATGAACAATACTATAAGTATATACATACATTCCGGGGCGGTGATGGTGAATGTAACAGCCACTGCGATCAAGGCCCATGTTCTCTCCATGTCTCTTTTCCGTGACAGTCTGCAAACTCCACACAACTGTATGTTGTAACCACTAAGACTTTGTTTCCTTCGACACAATATTTTCAATTTCTGTATCAAAGAAGTTACTGTTTTCTTAAACAAAATAAATTACAAATATTGTTGATAAAAAACAAAAAACATAATCTGAGCCTAGGATCGTATTTGTTTCCTTAACCTGGTGTGCAGGATATGTACACTTTAAAGTATGACTTCACCAAGGACTCACGTGACCCCCATCAACAGGACGAAAACAAGCTTGATAGCCTCAAACTGAGAATGAAATCATAGGGTCATGCGCATTTATTACAGAATAGCTTTCATAGCAACCGTTTAAACATACTTTGCAAGAAGCATTTGGTTATTCAATGCATTTGCTGGATTTTGTAACATTTCGTAAAGGGCTGGATGGGCGGATATCAACTGGTTGAATATTTGTAACATTTCAAATTATTCTTTTAAAGATTGATGCACGTTATCGTCGAGACACTAAGAATTATTTCAAACAAACAAAAACAAAACTTTCAATAGCTTCAAAGTTTCAAAATGTATTCATCTTGATGAGAATACACAAACTCAAAAGCAAAACTAGAAAAAAAACTCTCTCTGTTGCTTACCCAGAGACGTATATAAAACATAATGTGTAACTTTCCATCACCATTTACAATTATATTCACATGCTTTTATCAATGACAGGTGTCAAATGGCAAATTACGAATTAATTGCTCATATGTAGGAATATAAAGAGCACGGTGCCGTTGCCATGGTAATTTACGCGCCCTCGTTTTTGCCAGAACGGCGCCCAAGCGGACTCTCAGTAGGTGTTTGATAGGTTACGTAAGGAAATGGTCAAGGTCCTTGTCACATGTTGTTCCGATTATCCGATATTCTGCCATAGGTCAACAGTTACATCTCATATCGAAATTAACACACTCCTGGAGTTGATTAATCCTGAACCCTACTTCGCATAAAATTTCCCGACAAGAGCGCCAAAAATAGTGGACGTAATACCCGTTAAATAAATAAATAAATAAATAAATAACGCCAAAATTAAACAGGTCCGATTTGTGTTGACATTTCTGATATGATTTCACTACCTGCAAATTTCAGTACAGTTGGATCTACATGCGAGTTGATTTCTCACGAGCCATCATTTGCTGAGTACCGACGACTTCGTCGACATTTGTGCATAATTAATTAGGAAGAAATGTTCTTCATTTTGTCAGGCCAGATGGTTCCAGAGTGATAACTTCGATAAATGTGAATGAATGACGATCAAATTTGGATTGAAGTATTATCTTTCTATCCTACAACCTGAACTCCATTACCGACGCTATTTATTTATGTAACGGGTGTTACGTCCACTATTACGGCCTTTCGGCCTGGTGGACTTTCGGCGGACGAGTCTACCGACATCGTTCGTTGACGTTCATGAATAATTAATTAGGTACTTCATTTTCTGATTGGCCGATTGCTTTCTGTCTATAACCTGGCTAATTGTACAAATTTAAATAATTTCGATCAAATTTTGTTTCCCGGCGTATCGTCCAATCCCTTAGCATGCGCAAAGTGTTTTAGCCAATATTTGGGGAGTCGGGGCTGGGGATTGGGAGGGGGGTGTGGCGGAAGAAAGTGCATGAATGTTGTGTTGACATGGGGCAATTCATATTGACGATATATCTTGGAAAAAAGGTTTTGAATGGATACACAAGGATTTAAAAAAATGTTTTAACGGACTGCAGCAAGACAAACACTTTTCAAACAAACAATTGTTTTGTTTCAAAATATTACAGTTAAAATACTTTTCAGCACAGTCTCACAATATGCTTGGTGTTCGGAACATGTGTGCCACAAAAACATTTTCTTTTCTTTAAAGGTGCATTTTCTAATAATTTATTTTTTGCTGATTTGAATTGTTTTCCAATTTATCTGAAAGGCAGATGTTCAAGAATGCGAACTTAGAATTTATTGTACATCTCTGTTTAAATAGATAGATATGTGGACATTAATGTATGGTAATACCCATTTGAAGGCCAGCGAAAATCAAATTTGACATCAATTTATGTCACTGAGGCAAATATAATGATAGAGATTAAACTTTCTTATGTTTTTCTATCGGGAATTTATCAAGAGGGCTTGATTTCGTAAATCACAAAATGTCTGCAGTCTGAGACCAATTTTATAGAAAAAAGAAAGAGATAAATAAAAAACCCCAAGCAATTAATCAGCACTACCCAACCCTTTGTCAACATGAATTGCTCCCCAACATATAGTAAACATTGGGTTTGCAGTCCATTTTTATCCTTGATCTTTAAATTACAGCGTACATGCTATGTTTATGTACACAAGAGACGGTTATGTTTTCTAAACGTCGCTGTTTATGTGAGACTGCGCGCTAAAAGAAGGGAAAATATGTCTTTAGTACACAAATGCCGAACACTAAGGCGTTTTGCGAGAAAGATATATTCGCATTGAACTTTTCAGGAAAAGAATGTATTATTATGAAACGAAATAACCGGGTGATAGAAGTGTTTGTCTTGCCGCAGTCCGTGCATATATCAAATATTTCAAAACCCTCGTGTATCTATTCGAATAATTTTATCTCCCATCCCACAATATGATAATATTTCATTACAAAGGCATTACAACACTCATGAAATATTTGGATAGAACCAAATAAAAGTAACTGAATCCCATGGACTTGTGTGTTTTTTTTTTCTTTTTTTTTTTCTCGTCTCTATGACTATTTCAAGGCGTTGTCTCTCCAACGAACGTCAGTGTTCTACCGACGCTTGATCTTGTACAATTGTTAAGCTTTACCACGTGACATTCACAATTTGCTGTACAGCACGTTGTGTATAAAGCCTACTTAAAACACCCTGGTATATCATAATGCACATTTGTGATATATTTAGTAGGGTGAGGAAATTTCATTGTATGCTGACGACTGAATGTCATCCTCTCCTAAGCAATGGACTTTGAGTTAAACTTTATTCGGGACAATACCCTCAACTAACTTAATGGGGACATGGTAGATATAGATATCTTACTGACAAACAAACATTTGTCATGTGAAAAAAAAAACATTTAGAACTTTAGTATCGATTTTGACTACCAAAATTGCAAGATGATAATCTTTTAAATTTGAAATAATGAATGTGTAGATAATATCCTGGCAATCTACATAACAAAACTATTCTGTTTGAATCATTTCTTGTAAAAACATTTTTTTTATTTTCTTTTTTTTTGTTAATAGTTCGTTTTATTCAACACAAACAACAGGAATACAGGCAATCACACAACATGTAGATCACGGGACAATTCACGCTCACTCATATATATAGATATATCAATGTGACTTCTGGGTTCATAGTAGACAGCCGTATCTTAATAGTTCGTTGTGCGTAACTCAGGAGGGTTTCTGAAGATGAAATTTCTTCGCTTGGACTGCAGCGAAAAGTGCTGGGATGGAGAGAAATATCTGGCTCAAGTTTCTTCAACCAATATTTTCACAGCAATAGTGACCTGCCTGTCTTTGTTTCCAATTTGATATAAATTGTACCATTCTTAAATTTACAGACTTGTCCTTTGTTCTGCACAATTCTGTTAACGTCTGTTTGATTTGAAGTCTCAACTTCCATTTTAGCGTTTAGAATGATATCACTGGCCGGAAGTGTATACTTTTAAATTTTGCTAAATTTCGGCGAGCTACAAGGCTGTGTTTTTCATTGCTTGTTGTTACGAGAGCCGTGTAGTGACATGATTCATAGAATGGTATGGAATACTTACAACCAATGTGGCAAAGAAGGGAGATAACTCACATATACAAAAATCACTGAACTAAACTTATGCTGCAAAAACACTATCGTACTACACATGTCTTATATTCATCTAATAAGGAAAACAAGTTTAATATACGTAAACTGTGATTGTGTTTTTCATTCTTTCTTTTCTTACTACTCTTTTTCTTTCTTTCTTTCTTTCTTTCTTTCTTTCTTTCTTTCTTTCTTCAAGTTCTTTCTTTCTTTCAATTTTTTCTTCCTTTCTTCCTCCCATATAAGGATAAAGTCTTCTCTTCCACAACGTTGAGGAGGAGGATCGATTTTTAAGTCATAAGCTATAATGTAGGAATCCGAAAATCTCTAAACAAAGGTGTTTGTGAAGTCTTAACGTTTACTTTTTTCATATTTCTAATCAGTAATATTACGGAGATACAAGGAGATTGCTTTGGGTGTCAGGAGTAGAACATCCTGTTTCAGTTTGAATTAAAAGATCGATATCTTGAAACGTAATGAAAAGTTTGACGTTCTAAACACAAGTACAGAAAAAATACCTCTAATTAAAATTACAATGTAAATTGTAACAATGAGCCAGTTGAAACTTTATCATTTTCCCTGACACATTTCTCTGTACAGCCAATACTATAACAGTTTTCAAAGTCTGGTCATGTCTACACTATAGCATACTTAGTAATCATTACAACTTAATCATGTATATCAACCTCGGGTTGTATGTACATATACCTAGTACTTTCGGTATATGACTAACCACCATAATTACATTAGCCGAGGAATCTTTCAGGGTTGTTTTCAGGAGCGAGAACCCTTGCATTTCTGAAGTGTGAAAACAAAGTCTAGTATATGTATCGTTTGCATGATATACCAACAGGGAATCTGAATGTCAAAGTCTGCGATGTAGGTTTTTATAAAGTCAAAACGAGGCTTACTAGAAATCTAGTAATCGATTTCGATTGTTCAACACAACGCACTTTTTGCCATTTCTAATGAAGTACATTTCTCTCAAGTTGAATTTAATATGTTGCATTGTTGCTTGGAAGCTGTTCGGCAGTAAACAAACAGTTCAGTTGATGTAACTTTAGCACAGACCTATCGTTTTCATGGCGAAAGTCAGAAAACAAAAGTAAAAAAAACTCTTGAACTACGGATTGACCGTACGAAAGACGAAGAATATAGACTTGTTATAAGCCTACACTACTTGTTTTATAAACTACAGTATCAGACCTTCGGTCGACTTTTTTCTATAAGTTGCTGTATGCATAGTTTCAAAATCATCGTCTTTGTAATGTTTTGTTTGCTTTTTCATTCGGTGGACGATAAATGCGACGATTAAAGCACCGATGACGAAAACAGCTATTCCAGCGGCAAGAGATACCACGAACGAAACGGAATGGATGACGCCCTCGTTTTGAAATACATAATTTCTGTTGCCTGATTTTGGCGTGTATTTGTGCGTTTGTGAATCATTAGATGTTGTATTTTGTTCCGGTTTGATCAAACTTTTCCCAATATCGACTTCCTCGTTCGTAGTTGGAGTGAAAATTGTGCTATGCTCGGTAGATTCAGTGTTGGGTTGGGTAGTTATCAAATCAACATTTTCTGTAACATTAAATGATGACGAAAAAGGTGTTGATAAGGTAGTGACGTCATTTCTAGTACTGAAAAGGGACGAAGTTCTTGATGAAGTAATGGGGTTTACACTTGACGACATTATGCTTAACAATGCAGATGAAACAGATACTGATTGAGATTGTACACTGGTGACGTCATATCCGGTTCTGGTTGTCATCTCTTCAGCAGATGTTGTCTCGTCAACTGTGGCTAGTTCTGTTGTTTCTATTTCCGTTGCTTGTGACGTAATTTCCGTCGATGGTGATTTGGTGGTTGTTACCATACCTTAAAAAATTATTAATTCAATAACGTAAACTTTCGTATTACAACACCACATTTATTTGTCGGTTTGAAATAATCTAATTTTGTTGTAAGCAAATTCGGAACTTGTAAATAACATTTTTTCATAGTATACATAAAAAATTACATTGTATGACGTGCTTACGGTAAAATTTAAAGCAACACGTGAGTTTGAAACAACTTACATATGAAGGGGATATTACAAGGAATGTTATCAAAATTGGGTTACCTCCCCTTATAACAAAATGAAAATTGAATGTGATAAATGTATGCAAAAAAACTGTTTTAAGTTCCTGCACATCTAAAAAGCCGACAAGATCAAAGCCAGCTGAACATGAAAAAGTATACTCAAAGAAAGAAGATTTGCGCATGCATTTAATTTTCCTGTCTCAACAATCGTACACATCACATGACAAATGAACAAAATAACTGAATTCGAACCCAAACTGAATGACTCAAACCATATTTGAACTAAACGAAGACATGCTGAGAAAGGACGCTGAGAATCAGACCATGTTTTCCGGAAGGGTAGACATATAAGACATTAATTAGCAAGATGATTTTCATGTCCTTTCTACTAGCTCGAAAATGTTCATTCGTCAAAGTCATATATGGCTTGCTTATTTTCACAGTCTAATACAGATCTGATCTATTAGGTTAAACATGTTTTATTGCCAATACGCAAATCGAGTATCAGTTACATAGATATCATTAACGTCCGTAGATCACTAATTTTGTTCTATGTACCTTGTTAGAAGGAACCAAGTGAAATGAGTGATCTGATTGAAATAAGAGCGTTTTTCATTTTTTTAAAAATATGGATTTTTCTTTTCCGTGTGTAAATCCCGCTACATGTGTATCAGTCATTAGGAATTGACAAATGAAAGCGTGCACATTTTTGATTGCAATTAGTCTATAAACAAAACAAAACAAAAAAACAAAAAAAACAACAACAAAAAAAGTGTCATTATATTTTTGACTATAACTAGGGAAAACAGTAAGTTTATTATAATTTGTTACCTTGACAATTGTATAGACTGATGTCATCCACCGCTATGTCGCTGATGTAGCTCCTCTGTCGTGTCGCCGTTAACACAATCTAAAAAAAAACCACACAAAAACACAGTAATTCTTTGCAAATACAACATTGAACTCAGCAATTGTATCGCCGTTTACAGCTGAATCAATACCAAAATATGGCAACTAAAATGTTACAGTCGTCTAATGATTTCCGCGTTACATATATATGTGTTGTGTGCGTGCATATGTGCGTGCATATGTGTGTGTGTGTGAGGGGGGGTGGTGTTATGGAAATATTCGATTTTTCCGATGTACACAAATACAAAAACAGAATGTGCTCAGTCTTAGGAGAACAAATACTGTCGTGATGTCATCAATTTTTCTAAGTTATATTAGATATGTTTTCTTAATCTAATGTGAATGACACCCGTACTTAGTGTCCTTAGATCATACCACATATCGACCGGGTGCAATTTTCGCTAACTAATTAAAAATTCAATAAACGGATTTTAAAAAAGCCTATTGGAACCATACATATAGATTAACATCATGCACAGTAAAGAACGGAAATAAATTGATAAATAACACGGACTAAAACAAAGCTTTACAAACTACACCAAAACCTCAAGAGTGAATCGAAATTCAGCAGGCGGACTTAGCACGTTCGATATTTTAATGGTGATTAGGAATATAGGGACAAAGAGAACACTACCTTTGAGAGCTTTGTTCATGTGACCACCCAAGTTTGCCAGGAAAATTACACTTGGTTTCGTTTTGAAGACGTGTTGAAATCCTGCTTTTATATTCTATATATACACCAGGAAAAAATCTTAGACGCGGTGTTTCAAACAATTCATTTCAAAATACGCCACTTTAAGAATACTAACGGAATCAAATTGTGACAATCAAATTCGGTTTCCACGCTCGTTCAACTAATTGTTTTTAACTATGTTTAAATGATATCATTGTGTATCATGAGAAAGGTAGCGTATATTGAACGTATATAAAACAGATTCACTACACCAGAACCCATTAGCTTCAAAATCTCCCCTTATTTCAGCTTTTCCTTTTAATTTTTTTGCGAAAATATTGCTTCGTAGCTGGTATTTAAAATGTGAATACCTTTCGATAGGTTGCTTTTATAAGTTGCATTGAATTTTAAGTGAATCAGCACCGTGTATGCTAATGACGCTACACCCACATAGACGATCCCATGAGACCAATATGAGAAAAATACTTAAGGGAGGACGGTGGGTGAGAGTCTGTCTCAAAAGGGGGCATTTCAAACGTCACTATGTCAAAATTGTACAACATATTTAGATAAGTTATTTGAATATGCAAATTGGATTTTACTCTATATTTCCGGTCGTCGCTCGATAAAAGACTACAGATTATAAAAAAGAAGTAATACACAAGGACAAGGAAGCTTAGTTTTTAATTTGCGAGTGAAAAGAACCGTAGATGTATGTATTACCTTTTCTTTTTCTATTAACCTTTTTTTAAAATTATTATTGAATCGTAGTAAAATGTTAAAATGAACTTTTTTATATTTCATATAACTACACGTGACCCGCTACTAACAGATAATTAAGTCCAGGATGAGCTTTTGTAACGATTATACATAATTCATGGAAAATGTAAACGCACACTGAAAGCGTCATCTTACACTGTGTGTGTGTGTGTGTGTGTGTGTGTGTGTGTGTGCGTGCGTGCGTGCGTGTGTGTGTGTGTGTGTGTGTGTGTGTGTGTGTGTGTGTGTGTGTGTGTGTGTGTGTGTGTGTGTGTGTGTGTGTGTGTGTGTGTGTGTGTGTGTGTGTGTGTGTGTGTGTGTGTGTGTGTGTGTGTGTGTGTGTGTGTGTGTGTGTGTGTGTGTGTGTGTGTGTGTGTGTGTGTGTGTGTGTGTGTGTGTGTGTGTGTGTGTGTGTGTGTGTGTGTGTGTGTGAGGGTTTGTGAGGGTGTGTGTGTGGTGGCGTGTATGTGTTTTTTTTTTTTTTGTAATTTTGTAAATAATTCAACGATACGAAACAAAACTCCTACACAATACATATACTACTTCAGAGACGATATCATTAAGAAATCAATATTATATATATATTAGAATAATACACAAAAATATCCCATTTGAGCAAAAAAAACCATTAAATTTTTTATAGCAATCCTCATTTTAGCTTCCATCCCTAGATACACAGAGAATTATGGCCACATATACTGATATTATCCCTTCAACTGAACAATTGGGTCGTTAAACTCACTCTGAAAGGCGCGTTCGTTTTGTAGACGAACACCCGCCCCACGTTCCAATCAGGCCCTTGATTCTCCTTTACAGTGAACAGGACATGGTCCTCAGCAGCTTGTAATTCATCAAACAGCCGGATACTTACAGTCAGTGAGCCCACATCTGATCAAATATTTTCAAATAAGAGTACATTTTCATTTAATTTCTTAGAATTAAGTCCCCGCCCCCGAACCACCCTAAAAAAAAAAAAAAAAAAAACCGAAAAGACGCCAAATTGTAAAGTTAGGATAAAGTCATTTACCCCGGTTAAACGGTTTTTAGTCTTTTCGCTTTGTTGTGTAAGTTGCTTTTGCGTTATTTCGATTTTTTCGAGTCTTTTCAAAGGCAACAGATTAGCGAAAAGACATAATGACATATATCAGTCGCAATGACATTCACTTCATCCTGTGATGAAAATGTTCCCCTCTATTTAAGAAATAATTTTAATTTTTTTGTTGTTTACTGGTGTGTAAACTGCATTTTTTAAACAGATATTTTCAATGACGCGCGTAAGATTTACCGAAGTGTAAACGTCAATTTCGTTGGTAGGTCTATATAGAGGATACACACCGGAAATGTAAATATTAGGATCCCGCGTGATCAATATTTATATATCACTTCCTGAATAACAAACACCTTAATAACATAATCAAAGTTGTTGGATTGGATGAAATCAAATTTGAAACGTTACAAACTGAACATCGATTCGAATAAATGTTTGTATATTAAGTGCAATAATCTTACGGTTTTCACCATCCGGGCCTTTCATGTGATACCAGAACCGGAAGCACCTTCCACTTTTGGATGCTGGGTACACAGGCGAGAGGAGGCGAGCTACATCCCCTTCAATCCTCGGGGCGGAACTCTCTATATAGATGTAGTGACCTACGATATGATCTGTAAATTAAAGATGTGTCATACTCCCACGGGAACTCTCTTTTGTGCGGATATGATCAATTATGTAGAAATCATTTTCATCAGGCAATTTTTAAATTTCACTTTTGCAAGATGTATACGTATATTTTAGATAAGATACACACTCATACACCTCCATATACACACAGAGAGATAAATTGATATATTATCATTTCATTAATCATCATTATTAAGGCATCATCATCATCATCATCATCATCATCATCATCATCATCATCATCATCATCATCATCATCATCATCAATAATAATAATAATAAATGCCAACATCAATATATATTTAACATCATATAATTTGGGGGGAGGTTGAGGAAGGAGGGCAAATATTAGAAATAGAAGAGAGAGAGACGGATGGTAGATGAAATAATTAGAAAACCAGTGAAACTTGTCTGATGACAAGGTCACCGGACAAAGAAAATGGCAGAACATACAATTTTCAAGAATTACTACTGACAACAAAGACTTTATTATATAGATTTTAATGACACTAGATGGGGGTTAATTCATTCTTTTTAATGATTTTGAATTGGAATTTGGCTTTGCTATGAACAAAAACAAACAAACAAAACACTTTGAAAAGTCAAATTACCGCCAAGTCTCGTCGGTCCGAGAGTATGATCGGTTTCCGGTCCCGTCCTTCCTGTAGTGGTTTCGCCACTATGCCGGGACCAATCAAAATCATCCGATTTGTCTTGTTCCCAACCACAAAATTCCCCGTCCTCAAAATCACAATTTTCAATTTCTTCTGGATCTATAGAAGCGAAATTTCTTTCAAAATTTCCATAAGCTCGAAAATTGAGATAGAATTCATATTAATTACTTAGGCATGTGTTTATAAATGTGTCTCTATTTATGATCAATGCCAACTCGTCTGAAACATATTTTACACAATTGTAAATACACCCTCGTATTGTGAAAATTTATCACTACCAGTAAGATATTTCTGTTTGATGTTTCAATGGCTATAATGGCGAATGGCCAATGAGAAGCGAACTAGCAATGGCGTGAACAGTGTAATGAATCGACATTTAGGACTTCTCGACTGTCTTGTAATCAAATGTACACAAAGGTGGAAAATAGTGTGACGAGATGGTGTGTTACAGAAGTCAATTCGGCTATGTTGTGTCCTAAACCTGGTCATTGATGTGCGCGATCTGAAGGTCTGTTGTCCTATTTGGCATTTCGCTTCTTTAGATATCAATATGAGTTACGTGATAAACAGAATCTTACACTGGTGTCCTATCTAAATTTTAAATTGACAAGAACGCGAGCACGAGATGATTTCCTATGACATCTAAGTTTACCATGAAAAAAGAAATCAGATGGAAGCTTGCGGTAACAGACTGACAACAAACTCAACTTTTTGAAAATGCAATACCCCGTTTCATGAAGAAAAGTGCATTTGATGAATTCAATTTTAAGTGTATCATTTTTATCAGAAACAATAAAGGTATGCATATGAAGGCTCAAAATGTGCGTAAGAATCAAAGACCATGGACAATACTCACTGTCACTTATTGCGAACTAAGATAGATAGTTATATACAATATTTCACTACCTTCCCAGAAAGAGTATAATGTCTTGATCAATTCAGCATAACAATTTCAACAAATTTGAAATAAAAATATTATTCTGGTACAAATAACATACTTTGACATTCAGGGGCTGGAGAACTCCATATCTTGCCATCACAATATGCCGTTGCCTTGCCAACAAGTACAAATGGGTCCAAACAAATAAACATTACAACAGCCTCGTTGTGGATAAAATCCCTATCTCTCCTCGGATTGGTCGGCAAACTTGGACATCCAGGTGCTGTGTTCGAGATAAACAATTTGGCGTTAATATATATATATATTGTTTACATGCACATGAAAATGTTTTTGATGGCTTGTTTACAATAACAAAAACATAGTTTCTGTCATTATCATTTGACTATACCACAGACACAACACTCGAAGATGTAATGAAGTAATGCGCATGCGTTGTACCTACCTTGTTTTATAAACTTGTTGATTAGAAAGATGAAAATGATTTAGAATCGTATATAGAAAATTGCGCGAATTGTTCAACATCAGATCAATTGCAGGTTTTTGTTGTGGTTTCTAAACAGTAGTTTTTTTTAGGGAAATCTACTTACTGTAAATACTAGGGAAGTGCTATCACACTGAAATGTCATAATTTGAATTATTTTTTAATTTATTATCCTAACAAAGAGCTGATAGTAAGTACCACTGGAAATAACGGATGTTTAAATTACTGGAGAATCGGTTACATGTCGATTTCCCCCTTCACTTCTTAATTCGAACTACAGAAATAGTCAATTTTGTAATTTTCAGCTGGTCACACTAATATATATGAAGAACTTTGGTGAAACAAGCGTGGACATGGTAAAAGTTTATTTTGTATGACGTGATATTGCAAATAAAACACAGCATGGGGATATCGAAAATGCATGCAGAAATTCAAATATAATCACAATTTTGTCTGATGGACAATGTAAAAAATACCCGTATATTCATTTAAAGTGGTTAGAAGAGTAAAGTGACTTTAACTTCGAGTTTCAAATCTTTATGGGCTACTTCCTAGTGGGAACACAGCCATTCTTTCCGTTCGTCTGAACCAAGTCCGCTCCATTTATCACTTTCCACATTGAGTTGGCTTTCCCTGTCACTTACTAACCTGTTGATTAATTTTCATAGTTCGGGTCTATGTGAGAATTTCAGATTATATGTCTGTTTACACAGGGTACAGTTTCTCTGTAATTAGACAGTTAACATGATCTTAATGGCAACGTAGCTATCCATAATTTCTTACCGACACAGATAGGGGGTTGGCTTTTCCAATTGGTACCCTCACATTCGGAAGTCCTCGGTCCATATCTACTATAACCACTCAAACAGAAAAACGCTACTCTGTTCCCCGGTTTTTTCCTGGTGTAACCATTTTTTATCCTTGGTAAGGGACAATTACTACTTGCACCTGTTTACAATAGAAATTACTCAATTTTAGCACAAGCATATTGAAAAAATACTACATCATTATAACACAAAAATGTAACCACATTTATATATTTCTCAAAATATTCCTCGTGGATATGTATACTTAGTATATATTATCGAGAGGACCGGAAGTGAATGATTTCATAATCTCTTGATGCTAACGTCTTGTTAATGCTTTAAATGAGACGTAAACAAATATGCTGTCAAATATTTTGCCCTACGATAAAAAAACGCCTTTTAATTAAAGCAAGTCGTTGTAAGCAAACATGTGTTGCCTCTCCATGGCCGGAAAAAACGACTTCAAACATTTGTTCCCACAAATATTCATTGTTACATATTTTGACTCGGTCTCCGCTTAAAAACTTTGTTGATGAAGCCGGAAGATATCAATACCGCGTGATTTCCAAAGTATTTAAAGTCATTTGTTTTAAGTAATCATCGATTATTACAATGTAATGTACATTAAACTAATATGTAATTACTTTTTTGCGAGATTTGAATACTAGATTTATTTTTCTGAACAGAAAGCCGACTTGGTCTAGGTAGGAGCCGCAATGGGGTTAAGATCCGGGTCACCAAGTTACGTCACGTGACCTCGGCCATTTGCAAAATTTAGTTAACAAACGAGCAGTTTAAAATAACCTTTACAGTTTTGATTTAAACATATTTTGTTGGTATCAAATATACAGGTAGGATTGGGCACAAGTTTTCTAACTTATATTATTTTATTTCCTGTAAAGTTTGACAAAATGCATATTAACAAGACAAGACGACATGTTAAAATACAATTATTATGCGAAAAGAGAGAGAGAGAGAGAGAGAGAGAGAGAGAGAGAGAGAGAGAGAGAGAGAGTTTAATACTTTTCTTGTAAATCGGTCTCTCCTACAATGAACAAACTCTACTAAAAAATACCACACACTTTTCAAAACTTGCAAACTTTTCTTTTCGCATCTCCTCGCTTATTTCACTGTCTCTTGTCATACGGGTTCTCAAAGAGTTTTCGTGTGTATCAAACAAATGATAGATTTTAGGTATATGTATCACTTAATATTTCATATATTGACAAAAACAGCTAATAATGTTAAATTCACGAATTATTCCATCATTATTAATGGCATTTGAGATGAGAGACTCCCAAAATCTTAAATTCTGCTACTATGTTTCATATTTGTGTGATTCATAACGAAATTCCGTAATTTCTAACCTGTTTTACACAATAAATATATATGCCTTAGAAATAGTTCTATGTAACATTATTATATAGCACCGATCTGCTCTCACAAACTGAACAAACAATCTTCTGACAAAAAAATAAGTATAATGATGAAATGGTATATAGTGACCATAACGGAGATTACCTTTCGTCCTCTCGTCCTCTTGACGTCATCACTACCATCGGTAACCCACAATTATAAGAGACCAAAACCCGCAAGGCAGATTTTTGTACGGCTCAAATTTTCTTTTATTTTTTTTTCTTGTCTGTGTTTTTTTCAATTTATATATATTCTCCAGACATTGCTCTTTGAAAAAACATTTATATGAACGATAAAACTAATATTTCACTAGCAGACAGCGTTGTACTAAGCACACAACACTAGAAGCCTTTGTCTATTCTTTCAGAAACAAATGACGAATACTGAAAAAAATTTTTTTTTGTATTTGAATAATTCTAACGATATGTATGATAAAATCAACTTACCAGGCAAAAACAGCGTTATTTGGAAAACACCAAGAACAAGCAGTGATACCCTCATACCTATATGTCAGCGCTGTCATCAAGATGCTATCCCGAAGTCTATATCGGTGATGATTATCTATATTCCAGTTATCGTATAATTCAACGAAGAGAGGATGTAGCGTGGAAAATCAACATACGTGACTAGGATTTAAAAATAGGAAACAACATTCCTTTTGTGAGCGGATTGTTATGAGAGGTATACAACTTCAGACTTATCACCAGAAACCGCAGAAATACTACAAATTTGGGTGCAACTATATAGATACTCATTGTGAACACGATATGCGCACAATTGTGACCTTTGACCTTTTTGATTGGTGTACTTAGGGGTAATTTCAAGTCTAACTACACAGCCCAAAAAATAAAATTGTAGTGTGTCTGTCTCAATGGTTCTATTATGCGACATTTTGTCGGATTGAAGAGCCAACTTAAAGGTCACGTGACGTATATAAGTAGTTTTGTAAATTGTTACTTCCGGTTTATAACATTCCTATATATCTACACCACACCGACAACCTGGCGATTTGAGGTCAGGAAACAGATTTCTCTACACTTCCTGTGAATTAGGAATTATGTGAAGAGTCAGGTCATTCGATTTGCATGCCCGAGGTCTAGTTTTATGACAAACAACACAAAGGTATGTTTTGTACATGTTACACACGTGTTGAGCAAGGGTTTGTTTATTTTCGGCATGTCATTTTAGCCCTAATGAGATCGATCCAAATGGACAGTAAAAATTGAAGGGAATATAATGTACAATGTAGACACACAACACAGAAATTGAGACACAAAGCCCACCACGTTGCCATGCAATGTAGTAATCTGATTCACGTCACTGAATTTTATTGGGTTTTAATTTAATTGCATAAAACCTCTTACAAACTTACTAGTTTTGCATTGTTTTCACTGGTGGCCTCGTGTGTGTCTTCAGAACTCCCGTAAAATCGTTTGTTTCGTCTGCTGCACATATGGTATCTGAGAAATGGATAATAAATTCCCTAAACACACGTTCGGAAACGAGGCGACTAATGTGAAATACATTACCACTTTGTGCTTTACTTCTGTGTTTTTTGCATCAGGTCGATGTTTACAAATGCACAAAACCAGAACTTTATCTACCGCCATCATTTTACAACAGCTATCGATTTTTTTTTCTCATTCAGTTCATACACACTGGTATTTCAACAGATTTGTGTCTTATTTCGATCTGTCAGACATGAATTTCCTATCTGAATTCTTCGAATGTCAAAAGTATGAACAAAATCGTAACATTGAAAATTAAAAGTAATAAAGATAAGTCTATTTCATGCTTTCCATGAGAAATATTTTTCCTCTTTTTTTTTCAAGTAAAACATCCTAAGTTTGAACTGTTGGGGAAAATCCGTTAATCACATATACCTACATCAAATATACAGACAACATTCTGACGTGATGGCGTGTTCGGTTATTGTCACTGCGATCGATAGAATCACTCATCAATCACGCACGAATCTATTTTGTTAATTAGCATTTAAGCTAATTACATCAGTATATTAAGTTCAGCACAGCTCTCTAGATACATATAAACATACCCGACAAAGGCTACAAATGGCATAATTTAGTAAGTAATATTGCATCTCGGACTGTCATCGCCTTTATGAGTCAACAAGCGGAAGTGTACATGCGAAACTAATCTTCTACCTGTGCAAAAACCCCTGACAATTCACACTTAGCTTTATCCTCCCACAGACATTTTCATGAACCCATATACCTGTAGATTTCTTTCATCTGTCACGAACCATAAATTAAACCATCCAAATGGCACAATGGTGTACCAAATCTTAATATGGTAAGGACTTTAATCGTACGAAACAGCGGCTCAGCAGCGCATTGGTTGAGCTAGTTACAACAGTCCTAAAACTTCGAATAAATGGTTATATTTGAAACTAAAACACTGTTTTTGATGGTTCAAATTTCAGGTTTTCCGAACACTATTTTTTCTAACCTAAGTCATGGAAGGGGCATTTGTTTCTTTATCAATAAAATTTTTAAGGTTTCTGTTTTTTCTCGATGTTATTCCAATAAGCATAATGAATCAAGTGAATGATTCAAAAGCAAACTTATCGGCGAGATTGTTAAAAATCACTATCTCCCAAGTTATGATATTGCAAAAAATAGCCCGTGTCCATAGGTTAATGAACTTCCGGATGATTTCTCTTACATGTTTTGAAATTCATTTTTCTAGAATTAGCTTTTACGTCCTAAACTATACGTCCCTGGTAATGTTTAGAATTACCAGTTCATATCTTACAACAAATCAACCTTTCAATTTTTTTTCACATTTGCCTTTTTTGTTTGTTCACAGATGAACGTAACATTTTGGCTGTGTGTTTTGGTAGCGGTGTTCGGAGATGTGTGTGCAGGTGGGTATTCAACAAGGCCAAATATTCCATTGGTACATCTAACTCCAGAAAGAACATTAGTTATCGATTTCATATTTGCATGGTTTAAAGATGGAGATTACAATGCTGAATTGAAACAAGTTTCACATTAATTTACTATCATTTATCTAATTCCTGTCACCATCACATGATGTAAAGTTCGACTATTTTGAATATTTTCTGAATTTATACTTCTCGTATTCTTACTGCTTACACTAGTAACAAATGTATCAGCATAACAGAATATAATACTGAAATATTTCAGGAGCAAGAAAGTCGCCCTGTCAGCAACCTTATCTAATAAATCAGCTTTATGTACAAATAGGAAAAACTGCACGTTCATTTTTGATATTCTTATCGCCCTTCGTTTTAGATATTCTGGCCCAGATGTCGACGTGTAAAATATCCTCAGAGCTCCGAGACCGGTGGGTTCTCTCCGACAGCTCGCGAAATAAGCTGAGGATTCGTAAGAAAAGTGTGGTATTTAAGGAGCCTGGCCGCGTGTTGAGGTACAAGTGTCTCGAAGCTAAGGGAAATAACACATATCTTCTCAGGTATGATAGTTTGAAACTTTATATTACTTGTTTGAAGTTCAGTGACAATGCATAGATTCTCGTGTTTATTTTTTAGATAATTTTGTTAATTTAATACTTATTGAATTATCAGCTGGTTTTTGACACCTCTCGATTTTCACTTTGTCAAATGATGTAGTGTTCCGAAAGTCATTAGTGGAATGATGAACGCAGCTAGCAAGTGAAAGGTACCGAAAGAAAAAATATATGAACGATGCTGTAAAACCTTTATACATGTACTTTTATATTTTCTTTTTTATCTTCTTATTAATTTGTTTACTAAGAAAAATATATGTCCAATCGACTTTGTAGAGCGTGTGATTTTTACTTCAGATCACGAAACATAGAATACAGAAAAGATGGAGTTGTCTGCCTTGGGTTCTCTCCTCTCAATCGCCCATCCTCTGCTGAATTCAAAGTTGTCAGACTCATAAGTAAGTAATTCACTTCGGAAAGAAGTTTAAAAACCCAACTATGGTCATTCTTTTGATATGAGGAGTTGAGACGGCTATATCATTTAGAAAGACGCGTCGTAAAGGAAAGAAAACTTCAAACAGTCTTAAACGAAATAATAAATGAAATAATAAATAAATAAATAAATAAATATCCAGAACTTTATAGACTAATATTCAATAAAATTCTTTGATTTTTGACATTTCTTCAATGTTATGAATTCAACATGATGTCTGACCACGTAACGTGAACTATTGCGAATCTTCAGTGTGATATACAAGTGTTTTTTGCTACATTACACACCAACAGTAACAGCTTTAATGTTCATGTTCAATCAGGAATTATGAGTTGTATATTCAATACGTGAAATGTATCTTAACATGTAATTGTAAATGTATAGAGATATACATACTGTGAATCACTTAGATTTCGCGAACTTATATGTTCAGTCATATTCGCGAATACATGTTTTCGCGAACGCTGATCTAGAAATTGCTTCAATTTCGCGAATGACGAGCTATCAAAGACCAGGACTCTTCAAGACTCCGATATCGGCAATTAACTCATTAAGGATATCATCCAGAGTTATTTTCGTACGAACAATCGCGACAGAGTTGAATTCGCGATTGAATTTCCACGTGTATTAACGCGAAAATAAAACCAACGCGAAATATAAGTAATTTACAGTAGATTTCACGTATTGGATGTTACTCAACACGAGTATAATGAACTTGCATTTGGGGATACATTTCTTTCGGACTGGGGTACATACTTGTCGGGTTACAACAATCAGTCAATGACATAATTAGATTTTGTGTTCTTTGCCAGCTGCTTCAACCTTTGGCCATGAATTGATGGGACCTAAGTTAGTGAATTCCGGTTCAAATTTAACCATAGACAGTACTTGTACAGGAGTCAATCAGCACATCCGCTTTTTTATCCACAGAACCGGTAAGACTATTCCATACTTTATCAATAGAAGCATACAGTGATTTCAGTGTTCTTTATATCATGGTAAATATTATTGATTATTCTTTAAAACTTAAGTGTCGCAAGAAAGCCGGATCTTATATTGTCAGTTGAAATTAAGTACCGACTAAGGATCCGTAAAACGAATATTTATTTTTAAATACACCGACAAAGCAACTATACAGGGGTGTTTCCTACTGTGTCCTCATATAGATATATCGTTGAACTCGTGTAACTTTATAATAACAATTTGTATTTCTTATAATGAATTTAGACTACAATTTGAATTTTAAAAAAATACGATAGGAATAACAATATGCTTTCCGGTTGAAAGATCACTAAAAGAATTTTTTTTGGTAGAAATAGGGCTTCTTCATCTCAGAGAGAGAGAGAGAGAGAGAGAGAGAGAGAGAGAGAGAGAGAGAGAGAGAGAGAGAGAATTAATCCCCCATTAGTCCCCCTCTCTCTCTCTCTCTCTCTCTCTCTCTCTCTCTCTCTCCATTAAAGGTTTCAATCTTTCCATGACGTCTGTTACGTGACTTCGTTACATCGTTCACACAAACGTTAGATCTTACAGCAATGGTTTGAAATGTTCTAATATCAATGTATTATTCAACGTTATCAACCGTCGAATGAAATGATTTTCTTTCAATTCGACTGAACATATATATCTATCGAACATTTGCAGGATAATAAACATTCCGTTAATATTGACCCCTTTTCGACCTTTTATGATGACTTATCTGACTGATTATGAATGCTCACACCAAGTAACACCAATGTGCCCGACGTGTTAATTATGATTATGACAAACAGCACTGATACGCTTTTTTGGTCCCGTTTTTCAGTCCCTGGTTGCAGATTTGCTAAGGGTCTCCGCCGGACGTGGTTGACCTCACTTAGATTTGGCTGGAATATGACCTTCACGAAATCTGACTTCATCATGACTTTGTCCAACGGAAGTAGTATTAACTTCCGTTGTGAAAAAAGAGACAAAAATTTCTATCTTGTCAGGTAAAATCATCGTCTTATTTTGTTTTGCAAAATGAATTGCTTCTTCATGTATGTAATGGAAAGAATGTCCATACAAAAATAAGTAGCATCCAGCTATATTGTTGAAAGTAATCTATCGACATCACTCGAAATCTTAAGCTTTTTCTGCAAAAAAATTACAGTCAACGTCAGCACATTTTTTATTGTTGTAATTAATTAGCTTTGTATTTAACTTCATTTTGTCACCACGTCAATAGAGCAAGCGACAACCTAACAACTGAAACTATTTTCACACTATCTAATCTGCCTGTGATGCTCTATAGACGGTTCGCGGTCGAATTTCCAGTCAGATTTATGATATACGTTCGCCCTTCCCTTTGGTAGTGTAAGTGAATCCGTATGCTAAATGCCAACAGGTCGATGTCACTTCTTCCCGGAGGTCAGGATGGGGTATTATGTGTGGATATATCGCCCCTCCCAGAAGATCCGTTCTATAACTACCAGATTTCCAGACTAAACGGTAAGTTATTGATGCCATAATTTGGTACAGATCTTTAATTCTAATGTCCTATTTTTCGCTATATTAGAGGATTTAATACAACTAATTAAATTGACATTAAAGAAATAAGATAAATAGAGTAAGACAGTCCGTTTCATGATTTCTGTTAATAAGGCAGGAATTTATTGTAAATTTGTAATAAAACCACGACACTGGACCAGTAACAATATTTACAATATTCCATACCAAGAGTGGTCACATAGTTATTCATCTAACGCGGTTAAGTGTTAACATGGTTTTAAGCTACGGCTACTTAAAAGTACTTGATCAGAAAAATTACAGAATTAACGTAAATGTCCTTGATTAAGATTAATTATCATCAAGATGTTTTTGTGTTGTTTGTTTGTGTGTTATCAACATCAATTTTGTCTATAACTATCGAACGATAGAGGTAGGGCTTTCATATCGTGTTCCGATTGACATGACCTTTCCTGTGGTACCAAAATATTTGACCACGTGATTTTGATTTGTTGCAAACGGGGGCATAGTGTTTCATAAGTGCAACTTGTCGGTAAAATAAACAACCGTCTATCCTTTTTTGCAGAAGGCGATGGTCAAACGCTAGAAACGTTTCTCAAGTTTGTACCACGTGGCCAGGTCATATATCCTTATTTGGACTGTGAATGGGTAGAGAGCCCCGCGAGGCCAGTGTTTATTTACCCGCCATAGGAAACAGAGATCACCATGGTAGAACAAAACCTAAAGGCAGTATGCGAGACATCTTCACAGCGCTGCCCTCTGTATCATCGCCTTCAAACACACTAACCAATTGGACAAAGAACTGTTTAAGATTTGTCAGAATGAAGTGAGGTTATCTATCTTTTTCTGAAAATGGAAAGTTCGAGCGTGAGCTTCTTGTTTTTATTCAACTGAACTTGCATGAGAAATATTGCAGAAAAATGCGTTTGACACCGATGTTCTTACTGGCATATCAAAAAACGACAAAACCATTTAAGACTTCTCGACTTTAAACATATTGGGTGTGAGCTTTAGCAGTCATCCACTTGATATCCTGATCAATTCTAGTAATGACCGTCCGAAGTCATGCGAAAGTCATGTGAGGTCAAAGGTCGTAACAAACTGTTAATTTATCCTTAAAGTATTTTCTGCATTGTGTTTATGTACGAACTACATGCATGTATGTCGAGTTGTTCGAAAAACGTTTCTTTGAGAAACAAATTGCACATGAAATTATGAATTTAGACTACTTAAGAACAAAAGAGCTGTTTATTTTCTTTTCAAACAATTTTATTGTTCTTTGAAAAATATCCATTTCACCAACTGCGTGTAAACTTCATGCGTACTATTTATGTAAAACCTCGTTATATTGCCACTTTTTGTCCAACCGATTTTTGGCGTTATAAGGGATTTGTAAAGATATCGCAGGTTCCTTATTTACGAATTGTCAAGAAAGATTGCAGTATCCAATTGTTCTAATTGCCGTGTTTCGTAGAAAGCGACAATTCAAGTCAATAAGGAAAAACGAGGGTTCGTGATGTAAAAAAAGAAACAAGGGCATTATATCGAGGTTTCACTATGTTGATGTTGATCATCATTGTGTCAAATGTCTTACAGGTAAAAATGACAACAGAGAGCAAACTATGCTAATGATTTATTTTGTTCATAACGAAATTTTGAAATATCGTTATGGTTGAGCACTGTATGTATACACATCATACTGATCACATTGTATGTAAACTTATGTAAATATTGACAATTCCATGTATGTAAATAAATAATATGCAAATAGACTGTATGTAAATATGATTGCACAGAAAGATCAGGAAAATAGACTTTATAAAATTCATAATTTCTCGTGAATAAATAGATTTGTTGTATTATACAAATATTGCATCAGAATGAAAGTATTAAAAACATAAAGATGTACAGAATTCTCGTTATATTTTTTCTCAATATTATCATTTACAATGGTAATTACTTCGTTAATCTTTTAACATTATACAGATTTCAGAAAATAACAGTTAAAATATTTCAGTATAAACTATCATCTGACTCCGGTCATGCTTGGCAGATACAAGGAGGAATATTTGAAAATTATTTACTGTTTATTTACACTGTAGATCCTATTAGCATTAAATGATAACGTGGCCAACATTTACAAACAATTCATGAAAAAAAAATGAAGAAAAAGATGAAGAGATTGAATTTTTTTTTGTTTCCTCCGCAAATCCACATTTTAAAATGAAGTATTTATATGCTTTTTTTGAAAAAGAACTGTTTGCTTTTATCTTTAAAAAGAATAGAAAGATTTTAATGACCGGATAAAAATTCAGTAAATGTCTATATCAGTATATACCGATGTTACTTAAATACAATTCGAAATATAATTCTGAGAAAAAAACAATTAATGGAAGTATATATGTTAGTATCTGAAAAAAAAATTCTTCTGGCTTAGAAAAAATGGTGCTTTATATCAGGAATATTGCAAAGTTCGGAATGGATTAATAAACTTTTTAAATTAATGCAAAGTGCAATGAAAAGTGTTAGTGTACATAACATTCTCTGAGAAGCCTAACGCCTACCAAACATTAAGATAAATGAAACTGTATATGGTGCCAAAGAATATTGTATTCCAGTTTAAAATCCTTATGGTGAAAACATATAAGATTTGAACCCATCGTTATTTACTTCGTTAAATCTTTACTTATTTCCCCAAGACGGTTTTGTTAATATATTTGATTATTTCACAATTATTTCATAATTGATTTATAATTACTTAGTTTTGCTATCATTTACAGCTTTCGCGGAAAAAATACTAAAGACATCTATTTGGATATAAACACTTGTGGTTAGGTTAGAATCGTATATATTCAGATTTATATTATTTGATATCTATATAAATTATTTTTGTATTTATGTTGGTATTATCTTTCTCCTTCCTTTGTTTTCTTCTTTTCTGATGTTTCTATTTCCATTTTCTTTCCTTGAAAGTGTTTCTTTTACTTGATCTTATATTTTTCTTTCTCTTCATTTACTCTTTCTTTGAGATGTTACATTTCTTTTGGTATTCTTTTTATCTTTCCGATCTTTTCTGTATTTATTTTTTTTTCTTTTTTAAATTTTACATTTTTTTTTTTTTTTTTAATTTTTTTTTTTTACTTCTCTCCTCCTTGTCTTTTGCGATCTTACGATGTTTTCATTTCTTCTCTTGTGTTTGAGGATATGGGATGTATACTTGTTTGGAGACAGTATTCCTGTGTACGTTTTGAAGAATCTACCATTTAGGAGACAGGAAAATCTGACGTGTGATGCTGCTGATACTAAGTGGATTATATGGGTTTTGCATGTTGTAGGATAGATATGCATTATGAAGCGTGTGTACTATCTGTTAATTTGCTTTGTTAATTCAGCTATATTAAGCCCTAAATATGAAATATAAAAATCAGAAACCATCCTTATTACCTGAAACAATTAACTGTTTCCTTTATTTTCTCATTTTAAAAGTTTTATATTTATCATTTTTTTCAATAACTTATCTATAATGCTGTGAATGGTGCATTTCTTTAGTGCTGCTATCATTTACTGTATTCATAATAATAATTAACCATATCTATCGAGATGTAGAAGCCTTTGGGAATCGTATATATGCAATGTTATATCTGGAAGATGTTTATAAGAGCTGTTTTGTTTATCAATTGTTTATTTTTGAAAGTTTGTGTTGGTTTCCTTTTCCTTCCATTGTCTTTTTGTTTATTTCATTTTCATATTATCCTTGTTTTGTTTGGACTGATGTTCTCATTTCTTCTTTTCCTTCACTTTCTTAACATTTTTTTTCTTGATATAACCATTCTGAACCTTTCCTGATCTTTTTCCTTTTGTATCATCTTTTTTTCTTTTTGTTCTTTACTCCTCTCTCTGTATTTTCTCTGCTGTTTATGATATGTTAATATATACAAGTGTTTGTGCAAAGTGTTCAAATTCAAGAGGTATGATGTTTTAACTATGATGTTTTTTTTTATTTACCGTTATATATAGTGACAGAAGAGCTCCTACTGTAATGTTTTTCTAGTTTGGCGGGTTTCGGGGAAGATTTTCTGTAGAAGATGAGATGACGTGTTAAAATATGTTTGTAAGGTATACAAGATCGAGTTTTTAATATTGCCTTACCTACGCGAAATTTGATGATATTACAAAGTTTACTTATCACTCTGAAAACAAATCATTGTGAAGCATGGCTTTACCAGAAACATTTAAGACCAACGAAGGTCGGTAACTGTGGAGAAAGATAATGCTTTGTTTCTGTTGTACTAACCAGAGAATATTGAAGTAATGGTGTTTGACGTGTTTCTTAGCAGAGACCAGGATTTAACAGAGTGATAAGTAAATATATATTAAGAGTGGTAAACGAGTGAAGCATTGCTTTATCAGAAACATTTAAGACCAACGAAGGTCGGTAACTGAGAAAGATAATGCTTTGTTTCTGTTGTACTAACCAGAGAATATTGAAGTAATGATGTTTGACGTGTTTCTTAGCAGAGACCAGGATTTAACAGTGATAAGTAAATATATATTATAGTGGTAAACGAGTGAAGCATTGTTTTTACCAGAAACATTTAAGACCAAAAAAGGTCGGTAACTGAGAAAGATAATGCTTTGTTTCTGTTGTACTAACCAGAGAATATTGAAGTAATGGTGTTTGACGTGTTTCTTAGCAGAGACCAGGATTTAACAGTGATAAGTAAATATATATTAGAGTGGTAAACGAGTGAAGCATTGTTTTTACCAGAAACATTTAAGACCAAAAAAGGTCGGTAACTGAGAAAGATAATGCTTTGTTTCTGTTGTACTAACCAGAGAATATTGAAGTAATGGTGTTTGACGTGTTTCTTAGCAGAGACCAGGATTTAACAGTGATAAGTAAATATATATTAGAGTGATAAACGAGTGAAGCATTGTTTTTACCAGAAACATTTAAGACCAAAAAAGGTCGGTAACTGAGAAAGATAATGCCTTGTTTCTGTTGTACTAACCAGAGAATATTGAAGTAATGGTGTTTGACGTGTTTCTTAGCAGAGACCAGGATTTAACAGTGATAAGTAAATATATATTAAGAGTGGTAAACGAGTGAAGCATTTTTTTACCAGAAACATTAAAGACCAAAATAGGTCGGTAACTGAGAAAGATAATGCTTTGTTTCTGTTGTACTAACCAGAGAATATTGAAGTAATGGTGTTTGACGTGTTTCTTAGCAGAGACCAGGATTTAACAGAGTGATAAGTAAATATATATTAGAGTGGTAAACGAGTGAACATTGCTTTACCAGAAACATTTAAGACCAAAAAAGGTCGGTAACTGAGAAAGATAATGCTTTGTTTCTGTTGTACTAACCAGAGAATATTGAAGTAATGATGTTTGACGTGTTTCTTAGCAGAGACCAGGATTTAACAGTGATAAGTAAATATATATTATAGTGGTAAACGAGTGAAGCATTGTTTTTACCAGAAACATTTAAGACCAAAAAAGGTCGGTAACTGAGGAGAAAGATAATGCTTTGTTTCTGTTGTACTAACCAGAGAATATTGAAGTAATGGTGTTTGACGTGTTTCTTAGCAGAGACCAGGATTTAACAGAGTGATAAGTAAATATATATTAGAGTGGTAAACGTGTGAAGCATTGCTTTATCAGAAACATTTAAGACCAACGAAGGTCGGTAACTGAGAAAGATAATGCTTTGTTTCTGTTGTACTAACCAGAGAATATTGAAATAATGATGTTTGACGTGTTTCTTAGCAGAGATCAGGATTTCACAAAGTGATAAGTAAATATATATTAGAGTGGTAAACGAGTGAAGCATTGTTTTTACCAGAAACATTTAAGACCAAAAAAGGTCGGTAACTGAGGAGAAAGATAATGCTTTGTTTCTGTTGTACTAACCAGAGAATATTGAAGTAATGGTGTTTGACGTGTTTCTTAGCAGAGACCAGGATTTAACAGTGATAAGCAAATATATATTATAGTGGTAAACGAGTGAACATTGCTTTATCAGAAACATTTAAGACCAACGAAGGTCGGTAACTGAGAAAGATAATGCTTTGTTTCTGTTGTACTAACCAGAGAATATTGAAGTAATGATGTTTGACGTGTTTCTTAGCAGAGACCAGGATTTAACAGTGATAAGTAAATATATATTATAGTGGTAAACGAGTGAAGCATTGTTTTTACCAGAAACATTTAAGACCAAAAAAGGTCGGTAACTGAGAAAGATAATGCTTTGTTTCTGTTGTACTAACCAGAGAATATTGAAGTAATGGTGTTTGACGTGTTTCTTAGCAGAGACCAGGATTTAACAGTGATAAGTAAATATATATTAGAGTGGTAAACGAGTGAACATTGCTTTATCAGAAACATTTAAGTCCAACGAAGGTCGGTAACTGAGAAAGATAATGCTTTGTTTCTGTTGTACTAACCAGAGAATATTGAAGTAATGGTGTTTGACGTGTTTCTTAGCAGAGACCAGGATTTAACAGTGATAAGTAAATATATATTAGAGTGGTAAACGAGTGAACATTGCTTTATCAGAAACATTTAAGACCAACGAAGGTCGGTAACTGAGAAAGATAATGCTTTGTTTCTGTTGTACTAACCAGAGAATATTGAAATAATGATGTTTGACGTGTTTCTTAGCAGAGATCAGGATTTCACAAAGTGATAATTAAATATATATTAGAGTGGTAAACGAGTGAACATTGCTTTACCAGAAACATTTAAGACCAAAAAAGGTCGGTAACTGAGGAGAAAGATAATGTTTTGTTTCTGTTGTACTAACCAGAGAATATTGAAGTAATGGTGTTTGACGTGTTTCTTAGCAGAGATCAGGATTTAACAGTGATAAGTAAATATATATTAGAGTGGTAAACGAGTGAAGCATTGTTTTTACCAGAAACATTTAAGACCAAAAAAGGTCGGTAACTGAGAAAGATAATGCTTTGTTTCTGTTGTACTAACCAGAGAATATTGAAGTAATGGTGTTTGACGTGTTTCTTAGCAGAGACCAGGATTTAACAGTGATAAGTAAATATATATTATAGTGGTAAACGAGTGAAGCATTGTTTTTACCAGAAACATTAAAGACCAAAATAGGTCGGTAACTGAGAAAGATAATGCTTTGTTTCTGTTGTACTAACCAGAGAATATTGAAGTAATGGTGTTTGACGTGTTTCTTAGCAGAGATCAGGATTTAACAGTGATAAGTAAATATATATTAGAGTGGTAAACGAGTGAAGCATTGTTTTTACCAGAAACATTTAAGACCAAAGAAGGTCGGTAACTGAGGAGAAAGATAATGCTTTGTTTCTGTTGTACTAACCAGAGAATATTGAAGTAATGGTGTTTGACGTGTTTCTTAGCAGAGATCAGGATTTCACAAAGTGATAAGTAAATATATATTAGAGTGGTAAACGAGTGAACATTGCTTTACCAGAAACATTTAAGACCAACGAAGGTCGGTAACTGAGAAAGATAATGCTTTGTTTCTGTTGTACTAACCAGAGAATATTGAAGTAATGATGTTTGACGTGTTTCTTAGCAGAGATCAGGATTTCACAAAGTGATAAGTAAATATATATTAGAGTGGTAAACGAGTGAACATTGCTTTACCAGAAACATTTAAGACCAAAAAAGGTCGGTAACTGAGGAGAAAGATAATGTTTTGTTTCTGTTGTATAACCAGAGACTATTGAAGTAATGGTGTTGGACGTGTTTCTTAGCAGAGACCAGGATTTAACAGTGATAAGCAAATATATATTATAGTGGTAAACGAGTGAACATTGCTTTATCAGAAACATTTAAGACCAACGAAGGTCGGTAACTGAGAAAGATAATGCTTTGTTTCTGTTGTACTAACCAGAGAATATTGAAATAATGATGTTTGACTTGTTTCTTAGCAGAGACCAGGATTTAACAGAGTGATAAGCAAATATATATTATAGTGGTAAACGAGTGAAGCATTGTTTTTATCAGAAACATTTAAAACCAAAAAAGGTCGGTAACTGAGGAAGATAATGCTTTGTTTCTGTTGTACTAACTAGAGAATATTGAAGTAATTTCATGTGTCTATTATTTGTTACAAAATTATTATAGATAGATGTATCATATGAAAACGTTTTGTTGATTTTGAATATCATTTATTAGTGTTATTTTGAAATGTTTGTTCACTTCTTTGTTTATTTACTTTTGTGTAATACTTGTTTCCTTCTCCCTTTGTTTAATTCGCTTTGTGATGTTCTAGTTTTGCATTTCTTCTCTTTTTAAGCGAGTAGTTATTTTGTTTGATCTTTTCTTTGCATGTTCTCATTTCCTTCACTTTCTTTATCTTACTTCTGTTTGACACTGTTGACATATGTTACCTTTTATCTTCTGATGTTCACATCTCAACTGTTCCTCTAGTTTTTGTAATTATTGTTCTATTTTATTATTTTTTTTTATTATTTATTTTACGTTTCTTCTTTTTCTAGCAGAGACCAGGATTTAACACAGTGATAAGTAAATATATATTAGAGTGGTAAATCCATTTAAGACCAAAAAAGGTTTACTTCTATCCTTGTTTGTGTTTGTTTTAATTGGTATGATGTTTTGAAGATTTCGAGTAGAATGTTTTAGGACAACCTGTTGTTTAACCATAGAGTTGATGCATATAGCTTTGACATATGCCTTTGTTTAGATTAATTTTGATGAGGCAGAAAATTAGCTCGTTTTAAGAAACACAAAATCCCATGCAGTGCTGGCTACTTAATTAATACGATTTATGAGTGAAAGGGTGTTACGGGGTGGAGATTTGGGATATACCGTAATGGTAATGGAGTAACGTTCTTCCGCCTGAATAAGCTTAGGGCTAAAGAAGTTTGCTAACTGAAATTGCTATCCACTAATCCCATTCCATTCCGCTTCCAAAAACTTGAACCTCCCGAAACATCCTGATACAGAAACGTTTTACCTAAAGCTCTGACATATCTTAATATTTTACATCTTAAACATTTATTACAGAAAATTTTCGCACCTTGAACGTTCTACTGCAGGGAAATTTAATTAAAACATGATTTTTTTTGTGAAGTTTAAATTAAATGTGAAATAGGACTTCATTAAAGAATTTTTCAATACTGAATTTTTATACTCTGATATAGACATTTTGAAGTTGAGCAACAGAAGCTGAGCAGGAGAAAAATTAGGTCTTCCACATATTTATGATATAAATATATATTAGAGTGATAAACGAGTGAAGCATTGCTTTATCAGAAACATTTAATACCAAAGAAGGTCGGTAACTGAGGAGAAAGATAATGCTTTGTTTCTGTTGTACTAACCAGAGAATATTGAAGTAATGGTGTTTGACGTGTTTCTTAGCAGAGACCAGGATTTAACAGAGTGATAAGTAAATATATATTAGAGTGGTAAACGAGTGAACATTGCTTTATCAGAAACATTTAATACCAAAACAGGTCGGTAACTGAGGAGAAAGATAATGCTTTGTTTCTGTTGTACTAACCTGAGAATATTGAAGTAATGGTGTTTGACGTGTTTCTTAGCAGAGACCAGGACAGAGTGATAAGTAAATATATATTCTTGGCTTTATCAAACAAAGTGATAAGAATATTAAATATATATTAGAGTGGATTTAACAAAGTGATAAGTAAATATATATTAGAGTGGTAAACGAGTGAACATTGCTTTACCAGAAACATTTAAGACCAACGAAGGTCGGTAACTGAGAAAGATAATGCCTTGTTTCTGTTTGTTTCTGTGTGAAATAGGACTTCATTTAAGAATTTTTCAATACCGAATTTTCATACACTGATATAGACATTTTAAGTTGAGCAACAGAAGCTGAGCAGGAGACAAATTAGGTCTCCCACATATTAATGACTTGTATTGGAAGTGACAGAGGAAACATTTTGGTGGTAAACTGATATTGTGATTGGCCAGTTGGGATAAAACGTTTAGAAAGGAGTTGTAAAGTATATTACCATATATAATTATAGAAAATTACAAATTGAGAATGAGACCAAATGCTGGTTACTGAAAAATTAAATTAACGCAGGTTAAGTAATATGTTTCCCTTCTTACCAAGCATGACCGGAAGCTGGTACTATTTCTATGAGCAGATATCAATTACAATCAAAAGTAGACAGGTTGGATAAGTGCGGTTCTGATAGAAATATGATCTTCTATAGAGGATGAGTGATTCTGAAAAAAGGGATGAAACACCGTATAAATAATAGTTCCCAAATTATTTTAATATGTGGGTTTTTTTCTTTCTAAACAAGAAAACATCAATGCGTTCCTAAATACCAGTAATGTTAACCAGTGATTCAGACAATATTTGCCTATACCCTATTGAAAAAAATACATTTCAGAACTGATTTGGTGGATATTTAAGATATATATTCCATGAAAATTTCCAATTAACAATTAGTGCCCTGAATTGTAATATACCATCATCAAATTGATCAGACTTGGCACCAAATATTTATTTGCAAATCAATGTTATTGCTATCAGGTCCAGGCCAGTTTCAGTAACACAACGTGACAAAACCCCCATTGCTAGAACTTACCATTAGCATATTAGTATCGCCGTGTGCCAGTGCTTGATCTGAAGCCAACTGCCCCACCAAGAGTTCTTGAGCGCTGACCCTGCCTTCTCTGGTCTGGCCTCCTAGCATATTCTGGAGCATAGGATTCTGGGAAAAGAACGCCGTAAATATTGTTGATGTAACGGTAAAGGAAGTGTTGGAACGGTAAGTGTGATAGTTAGTTCAAAGGACTGACGTGTTATACTTAAATATGAAGGATTGGTGTAATATAGTTATGTGTGATTGGTGTGATATAGTTATGTGTGATTGGTGTGATATAGTTATGTGTGATTGGTGTGATATAGTTATGTGTGATGGATTGGTGTGTTATAGTTATGTGTGATGGATTGGTGTGCTATAGTTATGTGTGATGGATTGGTGTGATATAGTTATGTGTGATGGATTGGTGTGTTATAGTTATGTGTGATTGGTGTGATATAGTTATGTGTGATGGATTGGTGTGATATAGTTATGTGTGATGGATTGGTGTGATATAGTTATGTGTGATTGGTGTGATATAGTTATGTGTGATGGATTGGTGTGATATAGTTATGTGTGATTGGTGTGATATAGTTATGTGTGATGGATTGGTGTGATATAGTTATGTGTGATGGATTGGTGTGATATAGTTATGTGTGATTGGTGTGATATAGTTATGTGTGATGGATTGGTGTGATATAGTTATGTGTGATGGATTGGTGTGATATAATTATGTGTGATTGGTGTGATATAGTTATGTGTGATGGATTGGTGTGATATGATTGTGTGATTGGTGTGATATAGTTATGTGTGATTGGTGTGATATAGTTATGTGTGATGGATTGGTGTGATATAGTTATGTGTGATGGATTGGTGTGATGTAGTTATGTGTGATTGGTGTGATATAGTTATGTGTGATGGATTGGTGTGATATAGTTATGTATGGTGGATTGGTGTGATATAATTATGTGTGATGGGTGTGATATAGTTATGTGTAATTGGTGTGATATAGTTATGTGTGATAGATTGGTGTGTTATAGTTATGTGTGATTGGTGTGATATAGTTATGTGTGATGGATTGGTGTGATATAGTTATGTGTGATTGGTGTGATATAGTTATGTGTGTGGATTGGTGCGATATAGTTATGTGTGTGGATTGGTGTGATATAGTTATGTGTGTGGATTGGTGTGATATAGTTATGTGTGATTGGTGTGATATAGTTATGTGTGATTGATTGGTGTGTTATAGTGATGTGTGATGGATTGGTGTGATATAGTTATGTGTGATAGATTGGTGTGTTATAGTTATGTGTGATTGGTGTGATATAGTTATGTGTGATGGATTGGTGTGTTATAGTTATGTGTGATAGATTGGTGTGTTATAGTTATGTGTGATTGGTGTGATATAGTTATGTGTGATTGGTTTGATATAGTTATGTGTGATGGATTGGTGTGATATAGTTATGTGTGATTGGTGTAATATAGTTATGTGTGATTGGTGTGATATAGTTATGTGTGATGGATTGGTGTGTTATAGTTATGTGTGATTGGTGTGATATAGTTGTGTGTAATTGGTGTGATATAGTTATGTTTGATTGGTGTGATATATTTATGTGTGATTGGTGTGATATATTTATGTGTGATGGATTGGTGTGTTATAATTATATGTGATGGATTGGTGTGCTATAGTTATGTGTGATGGATTGGTGTGTTATAGTGATGTGTGATGGATTGGTGTGCTATAGTGATGTGTGATGGATTGGTGTGATATAGTTATGCGTGATGGATTGGTGTGTTATAGTGATGTGTGATGGATTGGTGTGTTATAGCTATGTGTGATGGATTGGTGTGTTATAGTGATGTGTGATGGATTGGTGTGTTATAGTGATGTGTGATGGATTGGTGTGCTATAGTTATGTGTGATGGATTGGTGTGTTATAGTGATGTGTGATGGATTGGTGTGTTATAGCTATGTGTGATGGATTGGTGTGCTATAGTTATGTGTGGTGGATTGGTGTGATATAGTTATGTTGCAGTGATTTGAGAAGGAAAGTATGGGTTATATATGGTTTCATCTCTAATATATCTGCAAATATTTTGGCAAGACTTAAACAAATATGCATCTAAGGCAGGAATAATGAGTGTAGTTGACAGTTGGCTTACCTTTGCCACGTGCAGGTGGACGGATAAGAGGCAGCTTAGGGGCCAAGTCAGAAAAGTCATAGATACTCTCATCCACTGGAGAGATTGACTTGGCTAAAGGAAAGATAGATTGATAGGAAGACCTTTATAACATTTAATGTAAACAATCTGATGTAGACCTTTAAAGAAATGTCCTGATCAGGTTAAACCCAGACCTAAATAACATTTAATGTAAACAGATATCAAACAAATAACATTTTGTAAATATATGATAATGTGAATGATGACCTTTATAACATTTTATGTAAACATCCCAATCTCTATGTAAACATGCTGACTTTTATAATATTCTATGTAATCATCTGTGTTTACACCCTAAGCTTTGTCAGAATTAATGTAAACAACCTGACCTTTATAACATTTAATGTAAACATCCTGATCTGACGTTAACACCCTTACCTTTATAACATTTAATGTAAACAACCTGACCTTTATAACATTTTATGTAAACATCCTGATCTCTAAGTTAACACCCAGACCTTTATAACATTTAATGTAAACATCCTGATCTGATGTTAATACCCAGACCTTTATAACATTTAATGTAAACAACCTAATATTAACACCTTTATAACATTTAATATAAACATCCTGATCTATGTTAACACCCTTAACTTTATAACATTTAATGTAAACATCCTGATCTCTATGTTAATACCCTTACCTTTATAACATTTAATGTTAACATCCTGATCTTTATGTTAATACCCAGACCTTAATAACATTTAATGTAAACATCCTGATCTCTATGTTAATACCCTTACCTTTATAACATTTTATATAAACATACTGATCACTTTATTAATACCCTGACCTTTATAACATTTTATGTAAACATCCTGATCTCTATGTTAACACCCAGACCTTTATAACATTAAATGTAAACATCCGGATCAGATGTTAACACCCTTACCTTTATAACATTTAATGTAAACATCCTGATCTCTATGTTAACACCCTTACCTTTATAACATTTAATGTAAACATCTTGATATTTATGTTAATACCCTTACCTTTATAACATTTAATGTAAACATCCAGATCTCTATGTTAACACCCTGACCTTTATAGCATTTAATGTAAACATCCTGATCTGACGTTAACACCCTTACCTTTATAACATTTAATGTAAACATCCTGATCTATATGTTAATACCCTTACCTTCATAACATTTAATGTAAACATCCTGATCTGATGTTAACACCCTTACCTTTATAACATTTAATGTAAACATCCAGATCTAATATTAACACCCTTACCTTCATAACATTTAATGTAAACATCCTGATCTCTAAGTTAACACCCTTACCTTTATAACATTTAATGTAAACATCCTGATCTGATGTTAACACCCTTACCTTCATAACATTTAATGTAAACATCCTGATCTCTATGTTAATACCTTTACATTCATAACATTTAATGTATGTTAATACCCTTACCTTTATAACATTTTATATAAACATACTGATCACTTTATTAATACCCTGATTAATACCCTGACCTTTATAACATTTAATGTAAACATCCTGATCTCTATGTTAATACCCTTACCTTTATAACATTTAATGTAAACATCCTGATCTCTATGTTAATACCCTTACCTTTATAACATTTCATATAAACATACTGATCACTATATCAATACCCTGACCTTTATAATATTTAATGTAAACATCCTGATCTCTATGTTAATACCCTTACCTTCATAACATTTAATGTAAACATCTTGATATCTATGTTAATACCCTTACCTTCATAACATTTAAACATCCTGATCTCTATGTTAACACCCAGACCTTTATAACATTTGATGTAAACATTCTGATCTCTATGTTAACACCCAGACCTTTATAACATTTAATGTAAACATCCTGATCTGATGTTAACACCCTTACCTTTATAACATTTAATGTAAACATCTTGATCTATATGTTAACACCCTTACCTTTATAACATTTTATATAAACATCCTGAGATCTATGATAACACCCTGACTTTGAAATAATTTTATGTAAACATCCTGATCTCTATGTTAACACCCAGACCTTTATAACATTTAATGTAAACAAGCTGATCTCTATGTTAATACCCTTACCTTTATAACATTTTATATAAACATACTGATCACTATATTAATACCCAGACTTTTATAACATTTTATATTAACTTCCTGATCTCTGTGTTAATACCCTTACCTTTATAACATTTAATGTAAACATCCTGATCTGACGTTAACACCCTTACCTTTATAACATTTAATGTAAACATCCGGATCTCAATGTTAATACCCAGACCTTTATAACATTTAATGTTAACATCCTTATCTCTATGTTATTACCCATACCTTTATAACATTTTATGTAAACATCTTGATCTATATGTTAATACCCTTACCTTTATAATAGTTTATGTAAAGATCCTGATCTCTGTGTTAACATCCTGAATTAGATAACATTATGATATCTATGCAAGCGACCTCCATGAATAAACATCATTATCTAGCTTTAGTTTCCATGTTAACAAGTACAGCTTAACATTTCCGTCGTGGCACATTCAACGTGATCTTTGAAAACATCCCTGCCTCCGTGCAAACATTTTTATGTGTTTGTATACATTCCTGTTTATATTTTTTTTAATGTACTTACGTCGGTGTCTGCGATAGGTGGCGCCATCAGCGTATTTGTCTGCAACGCTTTGCAGGATAACTGGCCGGCTAGATTCCCTCTGTGGAACCTGGCATTACAAATATACGTTAGAAATATTATCATTATGTCATTTTCAAAACAAGACAAACAAATTCAGCAACTGAATTGTTTCTCTCGAAAATAAAACGATCCCTTTCTTTATAATTATCTTCAGAATTCATTCATTAATCAGCTCTGTAACAACACACGAACACCTAATATATGCGTTATAATATATATCTAACAGGGTTTTATTGAATTAGACTTACGTTTGGCTCGGCATAAGTTGGGCGCAGAATTGGGGACAGGGGTGGCATCTGCCTTCTAGGGTAACTGCCATACGGCCTTCTTCCTCCGTACGACATGCTTTATATCATGCAATGATATCAAAGATTTCTTTCCTTTTCTGAAAATAACAAATCAATCAAAAGTTTTATCATTGCTGAGAAATGTGTAACAGTTTCTCTTTAATTTCTCTACTCTGACTCTATTGATTTGTTCATCAACACGAGGGCAAACGTTTGAATAATTATTTTCCATCAGAGCAATCTTTGAGGTATCTGGTGGTTAACTCATTGAACAACATGGGGAAGGTCGACCGCAGTGTACAAATTGGAAATGCCAGATATATAACGAGGTATTCATTGTATCGTTATAGCACGTACAAGTGCATGCATCTCTTACATACAAAATATTATAAACAGAATGTGAAATATCAAATAAGAATGCACAATAGTAACTTCTAGCGAATTAAATAGCACTATACACCTGCATTCGAAAAAATATTGTTTTTACGGTTAGGGAAATATTACTTGTAAGCTTATATATTACCCCCTCCCCTACCCTCAACCTCAAGCAAAGTTTGCTATTTCATATATGGTTTGCTGTTGTCTTGAAATTACAACTTGATTAGAATTCACCATTTTGTCGTGTTACAGTCAAATTTGTTCACTTAAAACACGATATTAAGTTAAAAGGTTACCTTACTTACCAGTGTGTAATGATATACAAACACAGGGGTTAAACTTTTGGAAACACACGTAGAAATATGAGTCCCGCTAATCTGTATCGGACTTGACGACGCGTTAACAGTGTTGGAGACAGATGACGTCATAATACACTGACGTCACCAATACAAAGGGTAGGACACTCTAAATCTAAATCAACCTTATTTACACGTTTTTTTTTATTAGACTACTGACTGAGCAGTTGCGCTATCCCGACCCCACACCACCTTCCTCGATTCTTAATGATAAACAGACTTGAATATTTTTACCAACTTTTATTTTCATTTAAATTAAAACAACTGTAATAAAAAGTAAACCCACGTCAATAAAAGTTCCAACATAAAAGGAGACACATAAGAATAACGAAGAAATACTACTAAACCCAACCTGTCCAATCAAGTTCATTGAACGCTTTGAAATACAACTTAAAACAGACTAAACCTTCGTGAAGTTTGGTCCCGAAAGAGTAGATATCATAAAATTATAATAATGATAATAAAAAACACACAAACAAAGATAGATAAAATAAAATAAACAAACCCCCTACCCTCCAGAAAAAAGGAGATACCATAAAATATACAAAAAATATTTATAATATAATAAAAAATAAATAAAAAAGATCCGGAAATGTGGGAATCAAATACTGATTAAATTTAACATGATATACAGAAATCCTTGATATCTGACTGTGTTAAGCCTATGAGATATCCTATATCACACACACTCATCTCTGATATCCTATTTCTAGCAAGTAAACTATCCTAAAATATGACTAAGTATATCTTCAACAGGAAATAAAAGTTACATATATATTTTAAAAAAATGGTCATGAAATGCATTTTTAATGGACAATTTTCATAATCCGAACATACTCATACACGTGTACATTGTCAAGTCGTTTTCATGACAATCTTTCTGACGCTAGCCAATCTTTCGTGTTAAGGCAGGAAGTCGGCCTCGACATTGAATAATTTTTTTCAGTTTTCGACATAACGACATGCTCAGACGTATCATTGAAATGCGAGGCGAAAAGTACCATTTCGGATAATCTTAAAGGCATATCCCGATTAGCTTTTATCTGCTCCAAATGAATTTGTAATGTCTGAATGTCAAGAAATATAATATTACCAGTTACATTGCACAGTAGCTTCTAGGTAATATCTCAATAAAGAGATCAACTTCTATTTTCATATCACAACTAAATAAATAGTATCGCATATTACTATCATACCTTTACCGGATAATTCTGTACGGATTGATACATAAATCTCACTTTATCCCTTTGCAAGAAATGTGCTGACAACTTCACATGAATTTGTTTGCTATTTTATTAATTATTTTAATTCAGAGAAAGACACGAGGAATTTCGGGTATGTACATCAGAAATCAATATTAACAACTCGGATAATTCATGCAGAGAAACATTTCATTTTTTTTTCCATTTGACTCGACCAACATCCTGATCCGTATCTAACGACAAGTTGACTTGAAAGTTATCAATGGTTGAAAGATTTCGTTGACATTGCGATAATTCCATCACTTTTGGATTTTGGATTATTCGTCTCATGTTAAAACCAAAATTCAAGATCGAACACAGTACTAGATATATTCTTTAAAGATGAAAAAATATGTTGCATAGAATAAGCGCTTCATAAACATCAATCCCGCTTCGCCCTATGGGGCTGTTTTATTTTTCTTAATTCCATTTGTCCCAAATCGCCAAAACGCTTAGGTGATTACACTAATTCAACTTGTGCTATCACCTATTCAATATGCTCACTTATCCCATAATTGATAAGCTACGTGATAAACTTCGTTTTGAGTGGGTTATTGTTTTTGTTTACACACAGTGCGCGACATTTTCAAAGCCCTCGATTGGTCGTTACTGAACTCCCATCAATTCTCATTGGTTGACCTCTGAACTTTGACACCACACAAGTTTACAAGCGCGTTCTTTTTTGTTGTGGTCTCCCTATGTAGAATCATCGACCAGTGCCCATCGCTAGAAATTCCATACTTCATTAAAATACAAACACAAAAATTATCAAAGACAAAGAAACTGGACAATCCTTTGACTAGCCATTCAGCGAGGAAATATCGTACTCAGTTGAGGAGTTATATTTGCTGTTGAATAATACCAATTCACCATGGATTGAATTTGTAAAGAGTATTTTTGATGAATGTGGATTGTCTTATGTATGGCAAAATCCTATCAATGTAAATATTACGTGGTTAAGAAATGTTTTGCACTCTGTTTTACATAGTCAGTTTCTACAATCCTGGGAAAGTATTATCATGAATATTTCTAAATGTATAAACTACAGAATGTTAAAAAATGTACTGAAAATTGAAGGTTATCAAATCAAACTACCTATTAAAAATAGAAGGATCTTAGCCAAATTTAGAACATGTAACTTCAATCTCCCCATAGAAACTGGAAGACGGAGAAATGTACCCAGAGAAGACAGGAAGTGTTTGATATGTGATTCAAATGAAATAGGGGACGAATTCCATTATATATTTAAATGCCAAAATCCAGAACTGGTACATTACAGAAATTTATATATTCACCCTCGATAACGTAACATACCAAATTGTATTAATTTCTACAACTTAATGAACTGTTCAAACTTCAGTACATTGCACAACGTATGTAAATTTCTTACTATTCTTAAAGATAAACTAAACCCTCCTGGGTAACCTGTTGAACATTGTAGAATGTGTAGGGTGTACACAAAATGATACATGTACTGAACCTAAGCTGACATGGGCTAGTTCGGCCTACTAATTTATATAATTATCTAACTGTTAGTATATTGTCGCCAAATGAACATGAAACAAATAATATCAAATCATTTAACTTACCTTTATTGCAAATTTATATCCCAAACAGAAAAAATATTAAATTCCATTTTTGAACACTTGTTTCGTGTCAGTAAACTGATAAATTGATCTCATGTAAATTCACTGAAAGACACATAACACACACGTCGATGAAAATTTCGTAATATTTTCATACGGTGGATTTTGGACACAAAATTATTCACAGTATCAATGCATTTCGAAGTTGCCTTCCGTCAACCACGCATCATTTCCACGTGTTACCCGATTCCCAGCGTCACCAGTAACGTCTGCTCATTACTCCTGTCGGTTTACCGAAAATCTGTTGAAATCTACCGTCTTGCGGTGTCTTGAATGAAAAAATCTTCAAAAGGACTTTTGATATCACAATCAACAAAAACTACACATCTGCTACGTCCAGGAAATGGCCGATAACAAAATACGGCAGTGATAAGTTTAACATTCAGCTTTCCCAACCTTTCACGTTCGACCTCGCTATCTGTCGTGTTGTTCGTTGCGCGGGGTAATTTAAACGAGTATTCCATTAATAAAACGCACGAACACTATGCATTTCATACTAATACACCATTTTAAAAGTTATATTTTGTACAAATATATCAGAATAAACGTTAATATGTCATCTGAAATATATAATAGCCGTTCTTTCACTACGAACTATATTTTGTCGTGTAGTGATACTACTCACGAATTTAGTGTCAATGCTTGGAGAATTTTAACTCAGTACTGTACTGTAGTGTGTACATTTTTGGTACGAGTTACGAGATAAACAAGTTCCCCAACATGTGACGATTGTTTATCTAACTCGAGTTAAGAAGAATCAAGAACTTTATTATAACTATAGGGCAACAATCAAACTTTAACTATAGCTATATTTATGTACATTTGTATTTTCTATACCTGTATATTATGTATTTACATATATGAGTCTGGTGTAGAGGACTTGTCTTAGTCCTGAACCGGAAATAAACTTAACTTAACTTACTTAATTTTGAAATTTAGAAAAGACAGCTTTAGCGAGTTAATATATTATTAATAGCCTAATACAATAGCGATATCACATAGATTCAGATTCTTTATCAGCCGCGAGCCTTATGACTCATAGGCACAAAAGTAGTCGTATACATAAACATATATAATACATACATGTAGCATACACTCATACGCACGACCACATCCACACTCACACACACACACACCATCATACACTATCACCCCCATACCCCCCTTCCCCCCCAAAACACACACACGTACACACACCCACACACACATATTTAGGAGAGCTGAACACATAGCATATATATACAAACATGACCCTAGGAGAAAAAAAGTTGACAGTATTAGAGATTTTGTCGTTTTTGTATCTAAAACAAATATTTTCCCTAATTACAAAGTTCCTTAACATTATTTACACTCTAAAGTTTGATTAATTTGCAAACACTTGGACGTCTGTTGTAAAACTATATATTGTCTGATTAATTCTTCATAAAATCTAAATC